ACGATGAGTTTCTTCAAATATAATTAAGGTATGTCTACGTCGGTGAAGGTTAGACATCCAGGTAATAAGATACGCCAAACAGATACTCAAGCAACTGGATATGATTTTAGAAACGGTCAGAAGTCACTGACGAAAGGGAGTGGATGCTACCTGAAACGTCTGACCGTTTCTAAAATCATATCCAGTTGCTTGCGTACACTGTCTTTTTGGCGTATATATAAGATATGTCTACTTTATGCAATGTCTTCAACAAGTGAGGACCAGTGATGTACAGCGACTATGAATACTGACACCTCGCACCTTATACTACAGTTCACCTGTCATCACGACCGACCGTTCTCCCCTTCAGAAGCTGCTACACGGTGCTCTCTTGACATTCAGAACTTTTGACATCAATTACTACCGAGTGAAAGACAGACCGTCCAGACTGAAAGATTGGCAAAGGTCACTCCGGTGATAACTTTGTACTTAATATCAAAGCTGCACTTTTCTGAATGCCACAGACCGCTCCTCGTGATGCGGCTTCGTACTTTGGCATTTAGGATGAACCCTGTTGACTAGTTATCACACCCAGAAACTTTCTTAATTACTGATAGCAGTAAACTTGACTTTGACTACGCGTGGTTATCAAAATTGACAAATAGTGAGTCATAAAAAATATTGTTCAGCAAAAAAAAACACGCAAGAGCGAAATGGACCAAAAAGATCTCCAATCTCCAATCAGAATTTTCAGTGGCTGGAAGACAGTATCAAATTTGCTAGCTGGCAGAATCCATTTTCCAACCATTCATTTGATCTGCGTAATAAAAGAACCCAGTACAAAAAGGAAAAACCGATAAAAACGCCTAAAACACGCAAAAATTAAGCCAAAGCCTGAACCTCTGCCTAACGTTTACAAAAAAAGCACTTTGTAAAATTATAATTGGTAACAACAACACGAAATTCCATTGGGATTGAGCACCCAAGTGAAAGACTACAACTTCTGTATGATACAGATAATTTTCCACTTGGATAATGAACGAGAGTTCACGATCTAACCAGGTTATCAACCTCCACGTGTCGGGCTCATAAAACACCGTACGCGTCTGACGGCGTGAGGCATGTGTCGTCTGTGAGTGTGATCATGGCCGCCGTCCGTCGGTATGTCGTCTGTCAGAACGTGAATTATGGTGTGGCGGGAGCCGAACAGCCCATAGCTCTGACATACAGCCTCCTGTGCAGGCCTCCGGACGGGTGGGAGTTTTGATACTGCGTTTTGTAGAATTTTGAACGCGTTCTTTTGCCGGCCATCCTACTACGATCTGTCGCCCAGAGAAGGTTTGTACCCACCAAGAAACCTCTCTGTGCGTCTGGTTGTAGGATTCTACTACGAAACGCAGTATTAAAACTCCCACCCACCGGATGCCTGCACAGGAGGCTAGCTCTGACACACCCAGGCTGTCCTACGTACTTAGGGGAAGGGGGGACCTCATGGATTAACTTCTCTAAATCGATGGGCAGCTGAAGGGTTTCAGTTTAATGTTCTGTAATGGAGATCCCCCCGGACTTGGCCGGGTAAATCCTTCCATTTCAGGGGGCACTTTACAGCTTTAGGACAGGGCAGCGGCGGACTTACTCTAATGAAGACTCCATAGTTTTGCAGTGAACGAGGGTATTTGGAGGCACGTTGGTTAGGAATGTGCCATGGGACTGTATGGTCGGGTAAAATGGTTTTTATTGATGAGCACACTGCGTTTATGTTTATGATACCTTAAGAAGATCTTTACTCCCTACTTCTGTAGCATCGCCTTTCGTTTTTCGTTCAACTGTTCTTCATTAATGATCTGACCAGTATTCCTCACGAAGCCCAGGACGCAAGTGTTCTTAGGAGAGCTTTTGAGAGAACTCTGGCGACAGTTCCGAATGCTGATGTTGTCTTTGATGTTGAGTGAATCATGCACCACCGAGGCCGCGGGAGAACATGCCAGACATGTATTGGCAGATGTACAGCAATGTGAGATTTCCTCTACGCACATGTTTAAATTCTAAATGTAGTAGGAGTTCGGAGATGACCTTCCAAGCTCCCAAGTGGCCATTGAGGATATTTTGTTGTGACGGCTGTTGCCACATTTCTGCCCAAAAATAACGGACTAGCTGGCACGTGGCCGATGCCGACCGTGTTGACAATACATGTACACGACGGCAATTGTCAGTCTTTTCCCGTGGCCCAACTTTTACGATGGTACAGTAGTCCTGCAGGCAACACATACATCATCAATCACTGTGTACTAATGAGGTGAGTAATCACAGTAATATCACAGCTATTATTAATCAGTCGCTATGTAATTATAAAAGTATTACGTTACAGATTATGACATATAGAATGCATTCTTCAAGAACTTTCCCCGCCTTTTGAAATGATTGGTGCAACCGAGGAACAGAGCTTGTAATGCGCCCATGGCTGTCTTAAAAAGTACTTTCATCTTGAGTGTAATCTAAAACAAAAGCCCGTTTTACTAGAAGTACCTTGAAAGAGTGGGCTACTTGAAGACGTGCGGTGCTCTTGAGGTTCGTGTCTTCAAAGGTCGAGAAGATAAAAGTCTACAGTGATGAGGGTTGAATCGGTGATGACATTGACTTGGAATAATGAAAGAGTTCTTTCAGTCATTGATCAATATACGTGTAGTGTCTCTTTTGAACACGAAGGTAGTATCTTGATGAAATTAAACGCTATACTGTGTATGTATCCACCATTTAAAAATTGTTAGAATTGTGTACGAAAATTTACGTCTAGTTGTGGCGTTCAAAGTTCGTCTTGTCCGATTTCTTTAAGCATTCATTTCGCTTGCAGTAGGCATCATTCAAGGAGACTTTAAGATCGTGTAAATGTCAAGGGCAAGGAGGACACCTTCCGTCTGAGACAGAACATCTTGACTAGCTAGTAGAGTCCCTGACGTCCATGTCTGTATAACTGATCACACTCATGTAGAGAATAGGCCATTCGAGGGCGCCCATTTGAGTTCCTTATTGTTTGGCTGATGTACTTGAATACTGGTATCACAGATGGAGCGAATTTTTGTCCATTTTTCATGGCTTTGACGGGCGTGCTCTGAAACATAGCGTCTGTCCTGTGATGTACACAGAATAAAGAAAGCCCAGAAGTGAAATTGAAAAGGTAACGCAAATAGCCCCTGCCTGCCGCCCATCCCGGAGGGATCACCCATTTTATTCTGGTAACGAGAAATCGATGAAGTCATTACTGGCACATCGGGGCGGCAGTAGGGCGGAGCAAGGGAGCATTCAGGTGGAACGGTAAGGGCGAAACAACGTTCTACAACAAGTAGTAAGTAGGTAAACTTCTGGTGGTACTTTTTTCGGAAACGAGTTTGCTTTCACATCCTTTCTTCTTCCAAACTCTGAAAGGGCGAATGCCAAATGTATTGAGATTTTTTTCATCAGCCTGTTTTAAAAAGATTAGAAATATGCATTTTGCTTTCATCAGTTCATACAAAAATCCACTTCTCTCCCTTTTAAATGTTTCATGGACCGTAAAAGCCTTATAATCCGTGACGCGACGTGTAAAACAATATGTTGAGATGTAAAGAAAAATCTGCTTGTCAATCAAAACGATTCTTCATTGATTTTATGTCATAACATGATCCGTTCATGACAATGTGGCCTAAAACAACCGTAGTCCATGTAAGCGACAGTTGTCTGGGTGAATGAACCTTCCTTTTGAGTTGAATGCCAAGGGAATTCATGTAACTGTCGTTTATACGTAGGCGTTAATGCATATGTATTCTGCACTTGCACGAACGGTCGCTCTTCAGGTGTTAGCTGAGATAGGTCCGTGTTTTTTCCCCGGTGTGGTCGGCACAGCGAACATCAGAGCAAATTACCGGGCTCATTATCCCGCCTGAATTGGTCCCCCGCCGGTACTTTTAAATGGAGGATGCCTGGTGGTGGCCGGGTGACGTTTAACAGAACTATGTACGTTTGTCATTTGCCCGTCTGATATGTTCTCTTTCCCCGGAATTCGGAGTTCAGTTGCGCTACGACTTTGTGAGATTTGACAGGTAAGGTCTTGTAGTGATGTAAAGTAATAGTGGCGGTTACATACAGCACATGCACAAGGGTAGCCACAGTGCGCTGGAATATAGTGAAAGGGCGTGGTGACTCCAGGCTTTTTCATAGCGACCTCTCTTTCTCCTTTTTCACTTCAGCACTAGCTACAGTAGTCACTTTTATCTTTCGTGACAAATCGTCAAATTCTGTTTTCACTAGTTATGCTAAATGGTGTGTACGAGTAACATCGTTTCGTATTAGTTTATATTTTATATTATTAGAGAACACTATGAAATGCTTTTGACTATATATATATATAGAAACATAACGGTTATATGTCTATATGCGTAAATCAAATGTATATAAGAGTTAACTTTGACACAAATGTATGCCGTATTTTGTTAAGGTAGCAAAGTGCTTGCTATGATATATATAGTATGTCTGTGACGTACAATTATTACAAAAGGCACCGACATCATTCAGAAAGTTGTATACTTGAAGAACAAATGTCATTTCAATTTCATATAGCGTTACAATGTACATGTTGGCATTTCTGACATTGTTGTGTTATATTATATTAGCAGTTACTGCAGCAAAATTAACCCGAAGATTACACATATTTCATGTGAGGTTAGCGTTCGCTTTTGTAATTAATGGCGGCCGGCCGTCATTACAACTTGGCAGCGGAAATACTGTACACCGGGGAAGGTTCGCTGGTCAGTAAAGCCATAAAGTGTCGGACATGATGTGACGTTGGAAACAAGAAGAACACGTATCTCAAGTTCAAAATATGGCGTCGAATTTGGACAGCAGAATGAAACCGGACGTTGTGACGGTCTTGTCCGTTGGAGCGGTCCCTGTGCCTCTTAACTAGCCGCCACATCCTACACAGGAATGCAGTGACCTGTCCCTAATACAAAAGGTCGTATGCACGGAACTAGGGTTTGAGTAGAGGTCCTGTGAAATTCACTGTCCACTGTGAACACCCTTACGTCATCCTGTGTCTTAGTGCTGTTATATCTCTGTCCGGGGCCGAATAGCCGACGGGATTCTCGTAAATTGTCGGTGATGCGCGTAGAAAGAGGATTTGGTGATCGCTGGAAAAGCCGCACTCCATATTCATAAGAGCTTTTTGGCGTCCAGATGCTATCGCGTCCTTGCCTCGCATTGCCCGTTCTGCTCACGTACAGCCACAAACACTTCTGCAGAAAGGGGATGTAATTATGTATGCGAGGGAAGCCTATTGTGCATCAAGGCTTCCCGGCTGGCCTCCAGGGCTAACGCTTACACACACTTAATCAGGACCGAATCTCTTGGGTGAATCCCCACCTAAAACAGGTAATTCCTCCTCCGCAAAGTACCCATATTATTCTCCGCGCTTTGGATGGACAGGGTTCATCACATCTCTTTCAGACAACGGTTATATACAGTACCGGGATAAAGTAGTACAAGGACGTTTTCTACATGGCAAGTTTTTACCACTTTTTCTTCTTCTTGCGCTACAGAAGCACCAGCATTCCTGGATAATGTGTAAGAAGACTTTCTAACATTGACTATAACTTGCTGTGTTGTTGTTCTGTTTCTCCAGGGCCGATGGGAGATTAGAAGGAGGACATCGGTGTTGCTTCGGTAGATGGTAGAGAGGACGCCCTACTGGGAAAATGTCGGACTACGAGTTGAAGGAGCGTTCCCCTTCGGGGCATGGCGACTCCGTGAACGGGGCCGCCAAGACCCCGACATCCCCAACGAAAGGTTCGGCCGCGTCGACCCCGATGGGGAAGGAGGATGGGTCGGTCACACCCGACGTGAAGGTAAAAACTCCCGACAGCGACCACCAAGGAGGCGTGACGATGGAGAGAAAAGTTGGTTTGATCAGCGGTGTGGCGCTCATTGTCGGGACGATGATCGGATCGGGCATTTTTGTGTCGCCGAAGGGAGTGTTGCGGGAGACCGGCAGTGTGGGCCCGTGTCTCATGATCTGGCTGGCGTGTGGGGTGCTGGCCATGCTCGGTAAGTGATTGATATCCACCCTCCTTGGAGTAACAATGCACTTCAAATACAGAAAAAAACGACCTAGTTTCATACCCGGCGACCAAAACTACACAACGTACATATTGTGCTGTTTTGACTCTCATACAAAGCCTATAACACCTAAAATCACAGCCCATTTTTTACTTGATATACACAAGCGTTCTCTTTCAGCCATATGATCCCATCCTATTACGATAAACACGGGCTTTTTGCGTCCTTGCATATTATGAACACTATGATTTGATGCAATAACTTAGATGTAGCGGTGGATACAGAGAAGTTGAGCATGGTTGTACCAAAACAGGTTTCAAAACGCCACAACAATATACTATTTGGATTAAAAAAAAACGTGCCAGCTCAGATAGATTTTTTCTTAAAAAAAAAGATCTATCGTAGTTTTTGTGCTGAACATGAAACAGTGACTGCCCTCGAGTTACCTATTGTACATGTACGTTTGAATCAAGAGGAAAGACCATAACCGTCCTGGCACAGCCTACTGTAAAATCTGAGCCCGAAAAGGCACACCTTTTCACAATATCCGCTGCTACCCACGAGGGCCAAACCCTTTGTACTTGACAGAATATGCCGTCCTGGATGCTATGTATTTTGTATCAGGACTGGATTCCTTCATTACAAAGCTGATTTTGCTAGGCAAAACACAACATCACCCTTCTGGGCAGATCAAACATCTAAGAAAGAAGAAAACACGAGCAAGGATCTCTCAGAGTAAATTAGATAGACAAAGAATGAACTACAGTGCATGATGTTGTTTTGTGTATGTAGTGTCTCATATACCGCAGTATCGTCAGAGAAAAAAAGATTTCTGCTTGAAGAAATCATCAGTGATATAGGACGTTTGCAGTCTTCTGTATCTCTGACTAGGACCACTGTCTAGTGCCTCATCAGTATCTAAATGAAGCAATGATTTATGTGAAAGAAATGAACTCAACACTCTAACATATTTTCAAGTAGGCAATAAATAAGGATTCCTATATTGTTTTGGGGCAGAATCGAGTTTAAAAGGCCATGGTATAGAGTGGCTTGCACCCCAGCCGTTCAAACCGCATGCATATGACCAACGTCACTGAGCAGTTCCAAGTTCTCAAGTGTTGCACCCAATGCGCTCAAGCTTCTCAACCCAACTTCCCCTTTGTAACATCTCGTCTCCGACCGTTCCAAGGACCTCAGTAGACATGATATTTGTATGTACAACTGTACCCTCCCCCTCCGTGGATCTCACGGGGCCCATAAGGTGGATGTAAAACCGTACGGTCGTTGTCACGTCCAATTACATGCGCCAGTGCGAGCATGGCCGGCCACTGGAAAAGTAATAGCGGGGCAGTCTTGGAGAGGAAGGAACGGCCAGTCGTGTCACATAGGATCGATATGTGCCTTACCAGCTTACTGCACATGCCGAAAAGGGGTTTTTAAAGGGTGGTATGTTTAGGTGGTAATTTCCTCACTTGCTTTCTTGTCACATTGTATTTCAAAATGTTGCTAGCCCGTGCGAGCATCCCATACATGTAGAATTCAATTCCCAATGCACAAGACAGACATTTGCAAATGCAGACAGACATGGGTTGCAAAAGGCGGGAAATAAACATTCGCGAATTGGGAATAGGGAAATAAAATCTTATGTTAATGCGAGTATATGAACAACCGTGACATAAAGAGGGATTGGCAGATTAGGCAGCATCTATTACTATAATTACACTTCAAGTTCTGGATCTGTCACTATCCAATCTCTAATGTTAACGTCACCTTTTTCTTTTTAATCCTTCACCTCAAAAGCACATATTGTGCGGAATCTTTATGCTAAAGGTATCGGTTCAAATGATAGCACGTTTGGGCGTAAAGAATCATTGAAAAACGTAAATCTGAACTCCACAAGCGGCCATTCTAAGTCAGGCAAATCTCCAGATTGCACCTGTTTTTCCTTTTGTTAAAGATCAGCCAGAGCGGATTTATCCGTTATTACAAGCTTACACTAATCCTACCCCCCTCCCCACAACAATACCGAGTGGGAATTTAACGTTACGGTAGTCTTGTGCAATTCTATCAGCTTCCGAAGGCCCGCCGGCGTGTTTTGTGTATCAAGATCCTCCCAACAACTCTACGGGGGGATGTACGAAAGTCCCCACGGCAATAAAACTTCGGTTCCAATTTCTTCTCGCCTGACACTCCCGTTACTAGGGGTAATTGCCAATTCTCTTCTCCATCAGAAGCGATCAGTATCATCACGGGAATTATGAGGTCTGCGGTAATTGAAAACCACAAAACGTCGAATCGAATTTACCTGGCGCTGATAACAACACGTTTTATCAAGAGTCAGCCGGCTGCGCCTGCATTCACCTGTCACGGTTGGAGGCAAAATAGTTCGGAAAGTGAAGATGTGAAGCGGAATCAATTATGACAAGTCTGCGAGAAGCTTCTTCTCTATTTCACGCTACCCAAGGACAAGGCAAGGGCGCGGTGTAACTTCGGGTAACTTTGAAAAGCGTGACGTATTATACGTGCCGACGATGCCCCCACACGCCGTGGCATGGGGTAGTATCTAATAAACGGTGGTTGGTCGGATGAGGACGCGGCAACAATCGATGATCTTACAGCGTCACGGTTTCCACACAAATACCCTTATTAAGAATGACAACCGTATCGAAACAAAATGAAAGGACGCTGAACTAACGATATTCCTTGTGTGATTTCACATGGTCAAATCCTGTATCTGAAAATGGAAATGGTTTCTTGCAATTGTGTTTCGTTTTCCCCCATCTACTTTAAATGCACATAAACCGTGCCAGAGAACAGTTCCATGTATGTGAGACCCCAACATCACGGTCCTTTGAAGTTGACCTCTATTTTACCTCTGACCTTGAGGTTATTTTTGGATGCCTATACATGTGACCTTCAGTATTTACAAGATAGATTTGAAAGTCCAGGTTTTAATGCTCCTCAATTGATGCTCCTCATTTACAAACGTTTATCAATGGACAATGATGACTACAGAAAACCATCGGGCATGTGCTGCCATGGCAGCTGACATTTCATACTACAGGCCAAAAACAGGCAAGACTTGCTACAAAAAGCAAAATTTTATTCTCTTGGGACACAGTCCTATAAAACATCCTGAAGTTGTAGCTACCAGCCTAAATGCCACACCATCAAGTAAAGTTCACTTGAAGAAAAAAAGATCTAGCCAGGCATTAGTACAAATGCAGGATATGGAAAGTTGTGAAGATAACTGAGTGTATGGAATCTGTCGATATCATGGTCTGACGATATGCACTTATGGATCGATAGTGAATCACATAGAGGATATGGAGGGTAATAAAGACGCCGAACATCCCCAATCCAGGATATGCGCGTATTAAAAGATAGTGTATGAAGCCAATCGATATCATATCATTATGTCGTATTCTTGTGGATCAGTAGAGATGTGCCTGCCCGTACCCTAATGCGTGTATATTTTTTGGCCACGCCACAGGAGCGCTGGCGTATGCGGAACTGGGGACCGCCATCCCGAAGTCAGGGGCGGAGTACCCGTATCTGTGGGAAGCCTTCGGTCCCATCCCGGCCTACCTCTACTCCTGGACCTCTGTTATTGTCACTAGGCAAGTAAAGAACATCTATATGCTATATTGTATATGCCATCCTATGAGTAAGAGCCGTAGACGATTAGAAATATGGATGTAGCAATGTTATCATGGTTAGCTTATGATAATCTGATATTTATTTCTGCAAAGTTCAAGGTGATGTTCTCGTACACACATCGCGCCGATGAGGCAACATTAAAGACTCAATCAAGTGTCAACTTTAGAAAACTATTCCGATGCAAACGTTCACAAAACGACAGGACTTCATCGGGAATGAATGAAGACCTTTATCGTACACACAGACCCACTGGGTTAAGTACAAGCCACAACAAAAGAATAGAATGCAGATTAACGTTAAATATATAAATTGCCAAGTAACTACCACTATACAACTAAGTAAATTTGGCTTATTCTTGTTAATGAAGTCCCAAGTGAATCTGGAGTTTGACATTGCTGTCTGTTGTTGACACTAGACCTTCCATGCTGGCGCTCATCTCGCTGAGCTTCGCTGATTACGCCACCGAACCGTTCTACGATGTGCACTGCCCTGCACCGGATAGCGTCAAGAAACTACTGGCAGTTTTATTAGTGTGTAAGTACAAAAAAGAATTATTTTCTGTGGCAAATTTTGGAGCAAGTGTAGCTTCCTGTTTAGGCCTCCGGGCGGGTGGGAGTTTTGATACTGCGTTTTGTGTAATTTTTACGCGTTCTTTTGCTGGCCGGATACCGTGTACCGTGGCGGGTACAAACCTTCTCTGGGCGGCTGGCTGTAGGATGACCGGCAAAAGAACGCGTTAAAAATCCTACAAAACGCAGTATCAAAACTCCCACCCCCCGAGGCCTGCAAGTGTGCAACTAGCAAATCAAAATCTTTGAATGATAGACGCAAATGTGACTAATACAACAAAAAAGAAACATCTACAGAATACGTACCTGTCCAGAAGTTTTCATGTTATCGATTATATTTTATTGATGTGCGACAATCACGTCTAGTAAATCAACCTACGTTGCGTTACATATATCACAAACAGTTTTAGATAATCACTAATTTATGCATGATAAATAGTCTGACACAGTAAAGAGTAACATTTATTTAGTAACATTTTAGATTCAACAGAATAAATGTAATGTAGTCTACTTTGCAAAACACTTGCGAGGGGCTTATGAATATGGATACTGAGTGGATACTTTGCTTTAATAAGACCCATTTGGAGTTGCAGCATGGAAGCAGGTAATTTGGCAGGTTACCAAATTGATCTTATCATTTTCTAATAGATATTCACTGTTCGTGGCGTCTCTGCAGACGTATTCCTCTCACACACTCCTGTGACCAACGGGACGTCCCCTAAATCCCGGTCTATTTATCACTCTTTGTAATCAACACGCCCCTTAATTAACTCACACGCATGTTAAGCGTAGATAATTCCTCCACAGAATATAAACAGCCTCTCAATTAGATTACCTGAACGCAGGGCCTTGTACAATTTTGTTAAGGATCGTTTGATTAGATGAGTTGAGATTACTGCGTTGCCACAAGGGGAAGTCTGCCAAGTCCTCCGTGGCTCTAATTGAATTACAGAATTATGTTGCCAATTTCAGTGGAGGTTAAACTATTAAAGAAAGCACAGAATGTCTATCGATGCTGATCTGAAAATCACAAGAGAGTACTATTACCTGTCTGCATGGATATAGCTCCTTATGGCATTGGAAGTTGCTATCTTATTGGTGACCAACTTCTTGTGCCACTCCATCTGAGATGACTGTAGCAATCTTCGAAATAGTTCTATCTGTGGCCCAGTATTCACAGTAATCTCCATATTAAACTAGAAAGGTAACATTTGCAAAGCAAATGCATAATGTATACCTTTGCATATGGTGTGCTCTGTTAATTCATGTAAGTATATGTTGACAGGAGTCTAAATCCCACCTGCTATAAAATTGCAACATGATGTAACCCAACACCAGTTACTATGGTCATGGTGACAGACGTCTGGTTCAGGTCATTGACCTTATTTGTTTGGAGAAGATGAAACAGTGCAAAAACAATATGTTTTCCAATACCAAAAGCAATAAGAACTGTTAGCTGTAGTAGACTTCTAGCACTATACTTGTTGTTGTATTTTACATGATATTGTTACTTCATATTGCAGTGCTTATAACATTTGCCAACTGTTGGAGTGTGAAACTAGCGACATCCATACAGAACTTCTTCACCGCCGCCAAACTGCTGGCTGTTGCACTTATAATCATAGTGGGATTTGTTATGTTAGGATTCGGTACGTATCATCACTTAATTATTGTTCTTCCCCATAGTATAGTGTAGTGTAGTGTAGTGCAGTGCAGTGTAGTGTAGTGTAGTGTAGTCTAGTATGGTGTAGTGTAGTATAGTGTAGTGTAGTGTAGTGTAGTCTAGTCTAGTATAGTGTAGTGTAGTATAGTATATTATAGTATAGAATAGGGTATTGTATGTAGTACAGTATAGTTTAGTGTAGTGCAGTGTAGTGTAGTGTAGTACAGTATAGTATGGTATAGTACAGTATAGTATAGTAGGTGAAAGGTATATAGATTTTCATCGCTTTCTTGGATCAAATTCGGTTATGATTAGCAGGACGTAGGGTATATATAATCCATAATATCAGGTACTACCACCATTGAAAGAAACTAAGATTAGACACATATCTACATTTCTTTTCTGCAGGTAACACAGAGCACTTACAAATAGAGAACAGTTTCCCATCCGGCCAAAGTCCGTCCATTTCAGCAATAGGCATAGCTTTCTACCAAGGTCTGTGGGCGTACGACGGATGGTGAGACATTCATTTTCATTCCTTGTGCTTCCCGTAACTATCACAGATTGTTCGTCTTGTCAAAGGGGACAACCGTTACTAATAGGTTCCGTGGAATCCCGGCTCCAACGCTGATATCGCATATTTGTTAAGGAAATGCAAAATGACAGCACCACATCTGTTCAAAGAATTGAAATTCTAGTCGAACGTACCAAATGCCATTACCTTGTTTCTAAAAAACACTGCACTCAGACAAGAACTTAAGGGATAAAACGTGCCATTACGAAATGCCATTACCTTTTCCAAGAAAAACATATTGGCAGGGGCTAGACCTTGAATACAACGCGTGATAGCTTTCTAAGTTTTCAAACCTAAAATTTAAGAGTTGAGTACCGAGTACCTACCTATAAATTATTGTCATCTAACGAAACAGTGAATCTTTTTTTTCCGTGACAGGAACAACTTGAATTTCGTCACAGAGGAGATAAAGAACCCCTACGTGTAAGTACCTGTAATGTTTCATTGTGGTTGATAATTTAAACACTGTCCTTCCCCGTCTGACGTGTTATTCAAAAGATGATGGACACTCCTTCCCCCCTGCTAGACTGTAACCGTATATCAGCTAAGCCAAGAAAATACATCGCCGCATGCAATAGCAGCCCCCGTAATTGAATTGCCCTTCAATGGGCACATAAAAGGACGTTAGATGTTTAGTTACGATGGATATCGGTAGAGTTGAAGCCGTTTCGTTTGAATGTAAAGTTTAGAGGTTGAAAGCGGGCGGAAGATATCGCTGGCAGCGCACCTGATGCCGTAGTGACGTCATGTAGCTCCTGATCAATTTCTTTCTCGCTAATGGTCTGGGACGGATGATAGAATGGACACAAAACCGCTTACCAGACTATTCTCATGAGTATGGAAGATACAAAAGAATACAAGCATTAATTTGACATGTAAAAACATATAATCCTAATGGCTGACTTTGCGTATACCGTTTAACACCGTCTGTTAAAATTGTACGTTTACTATACTATTCATCTTCCCCATTAAAGCGAAGAGCTGTCTTCATATCATTGGCTTTTGGACCCTCACATTCCGGTATAAAGCACCCCATAGATCATACTGTCCATGGATCTGCGTGTGTGACAGGTCTCCTGGTATGAGTAGATAACCTGTCGTGTTTGGTCCCTGCTGCAGGAACCTGCCTCGCTCCATCATCGTCGGCATCCCGCTGGTCACAGGCTGCTACCTGTTGGTCAACATCGCCTACTTCACCGTCATGTCGCCGCTCGAGCTGCTGGAGTCACCTGCAGTGGCGGCTGTAAGTACAAAATGGCTTCCCTGTCTTGGACTGTGCACTGTCTCTGTTCCATGTGCCCGGCAAAAGCTTCCAATTACATTTTGAATGTTGAGCTCCATGGTCATGCCGTGCAAATATGAAAAATGCTCATGGACGATGGTGCAAGTACAAAATGGCCTCTCTATGCCCTGCGTTGGACTGTGCGCACTGTCTCTGTTCCATATGGCCGGCAAAATCTTTCAATTACATTTTGAACGTTGAACTTCAAGAGTCCATGGCCATGACATGCAGATGTAAAAGGGTGTTCATGGACGATGGTGCAGGTACAAAATGGTCTCGCTATGCCCTGTGTTGGACTGTGCACTGTCTCTGTTCCACATGCCTGGCAAAAGCTTTCTACGTATTACATTTTGAATGTTGAACTTCAAGAGTCCAAGGCCGTACCATGCAGATGCAACCGGATGCTCATGGACGATATAAAATGGCCTCCCTATGTTGGACTGTGCACTGTCTTTGTTTCATAAGCCTGGCAAAAGCTTTCTATTACATTTTGGACGTTGAACTTTATGGTCATGTCATACGAATGCAAAAGGATGGTGGTGAATAACGGTGCAATCCTGACACCATTTACTGGCCCGATCTGACACAGGCAATTGAATGGGTAACTGCAGATATTTTTTTGACTGGAGATCGGTCCATGGTCGTGTCAAAGGATCTACACCAGACACCACATGTATGCATATGGGCCTGAAAATGGAAGCTTTTACTGGTGGGCAAAGTGGAAGTCGAACGATGTCCAGTTTTGTTGTAATGGTCTTCCAAAATGTTCCGTTCCAGCATTCACACAAGCTCTCTAAAACAGTTTCAATGCATTTCAACGGATACAAACTATCGCAAACTCCATTGGGCTGATTGCAAACCGTTAGAGTCAACATTGTTGAGATTATACTGCGTCATTTAGCCTGTGACCAGTTTATACCAGCCATTCATTGGCGAGTCGTAAAAACACACGTGTAAATGCCAGTGATTTAACGTGGGGTGATAAAAGTGAGTGCTGATTTGTTCATCTATGTATATTGAGTATTTCCCCGTAACTACCTCGACACGCCTTCCAAACACCGGCAACAAATTACGAGTTATATGGTCTTTCTTACAGCGTAAATTTCGTCATATATTTGTGTATTCATATATGTATATCATCCCACTGAAGCCTGCAACATAAACGCTTTACATCCAAATGTACACTTCAACTGGGAACAAATCACATGATAAAAAGTAACCAAACATTAAAGAAAATACTGCAACCCAGCTTCGACAAAAAGCAACTCTCTAAACGACTTAGCAGACTCTAAAGTGTGTGTATTATGTACCCATTCCGACTAGAGATTGTTCTCTCAAGCCGTTTACATGGGGGTATTTACAGTTAGCTCGCGCCACCTGCGCCCCTGATAAACGCTCTCATGAAATCATCACAACCTATTTGCTGCCTTGTGTATCACCCATTCGCTCCTCGTTTAGAAACACCAACTCACTCCGTATTCTGAATAGATTCTTTGGGGGTTTATGTAAAACGTACTCTGCGAAACAAGTGAAGAACTTTGAGACCGTATAGGATCTCTAAATTGTGAAGGATTGCCACTGGTAATTGTGAATACCCCCTTTATTAGTGCGCTCGTGTAGTGCACCTGTATTGCTTATTACTTTATAATCACTGTAATGTATTTTGAACTAATGCTATTCTCAGTCTTGTATGTGGGTGTTAAGGGAAGTCTCTACATCGGCTGTTCAATCACAGGCGATGGTTTCAGCCCATCTATCTTCATGTGTTTAACCATCAGTTGTGCTAATGTTGTTTGATTTGGTGCTACAGACGCTGGGTACTCGGACGCTGGGTGTAATGGCGTGGATAATACCGCTGTCAGTGGCGTTTTCCACCTTCGGAGCCGCCAACGGAACGTGCTTCACTTCGGGAAGGTACGGTACTTTGTTTAAGGTACGGTACTTTGTGCAAAATAACGACGCAATGTGCATCTGGGAATAGCAGATGGGGGCGTTATGGAAATGAGTTTTCTTTGTTGTTTGCTACTTATCCTGCACAAATCGTAAACGAAGAGGTGAAACTGACATGCCCCAACACCTAAATATTCAATTGTAACTATTGGGTCGGAAAAGCAATGAAAAGAGCAAGCCAAAGTCAATGTGCAAGTTCTATGGACACATTGCAGATTCGCAAATGTTTTATTGATGTTACGTGTAAAATGTATCTTCTTACCAATTTTCTTATGTATGTCATTTTGTGTCAAAAACTCAACATCCCCCCGTGTAAGTCACGTTTCCTTGGCCTTATATTACCTCATCAAATTATTCATTACAGGAAACTAGACACGCGAGCAATTTGTCAAAATCACTGACATTATCGGTTACAACAGCGAAGGCTATAATCATGTATATGGAAAATGAAGTTCTCATATCGAAGTCAGTTACTGTACCACACTACATACACGTACGGAATGACTTTATTACTAGTGTACACTGAGAAGACGACTTCTCATATAATCACATGTAGTCCCGGAGTGTGCGATCGTGCTCAGTGACTGTACCCAGTAATTATTCCGCATGAACGGCTCGGTAGATCTATATAATCGGGAGGATATTTGATGTTTACATGAAAGGTAATGTAGCAGGACGCCATGAATCTTTCATGTAATTAACACCAGTTCCAAGACAACACCGCGGCGCCCTCATATTAAGACGCCGGTCCTGGAGGATGAAGATAGCGGTAATTGGCGCTGTTTGCAGCCGTCAGATCTATCTACATCTTACCAGCAATTTGACACATTTCATGGCGACATCGGGGACATAGTTATAATTCAGCAGCGTGCTAGCTGCAGGTGGGACTTGCTACGCTTCACCCTGAAGGCGTGGAAGCAATCTTAACTTGGATGCCATCTTCATACATGTACGCATGCAGTACTGCGACAAATACATTCCTTGCCATAGGTGGCATGGGCCATTTGGCTGAGCGAAGTTTCAGATACCAAAAGTTAGCAAGGGCTCATCATTTATCATCATATATATAGCAATGTTCAATATTTTCAGGTATCCATGCAGAATGTAGTCAATCTAGTTAGATACCGCATATCGTGTGGAGTTATATATGAACATGCATGTTTATCATAGCTTATAATTCTATGAGACGATGAAGCTAGGCTGTAGGGAAGAAACCTCTCATTTTATAGATTATTTTGGCCACACCATCTTCGGGAGATCTATTCATTACTGGCGATCATTTGTACATGTGTTACCACGCCTACAAGTAATCCATCTTTAAACTCGCTCTGATGCCACTTTGTGATACATGCCACCCGTCCTATCTTTTCGGCCACAAGAATTATCTGAAAACGATTCCCAACATACATCACGATCGCACGACTCCTTCCCTTCATTAGTCAAGCCTGTCAAAGTGCCTACATATCACCGAACGCTATCTTTACCCGCTCAATCCTGTTAGTCTTGAGGATACTGATAAGGTGAAGACCCATTATACAACTACTTGGCGGAGAATCATGTGTGTTCAACATGCAAATGGAAAGGACTATACAATATGCATCTCCATACCATTCAGAAAATCTTTCTAACTATAACTTCTTTATGTTATTTGTCATTTTGTGTAGATCAACGATAATTTTTTTTTTACGAAATGTGTGCAATACTGTCGCCCGCCGCTAGGTTGTGCTACGTGGCGGCTCGGGAGGGTCACATGGTGTCCATCCTGTCCATGGTTCACGTCAGGCGGCTCACGCCCTCACCTGCACTCATCTTCAACGTAAGGAAACTCCAAACTTCTTATTACGCAAGAGTTAGAATCGCGCCTCACTGACATACACGACCATACACAGCATATACTAAAAGAATTACTCTATCAAGGTATGAATGTAAAAAATCCCGAAGAACTGCAGAACTGCCCAGGCCTCAGAGAAAAGCCAAAGAAACATATGGCAACCTATCAAAACTACTTCAACAGGATTATTTGCCTTGTTTACTGCTCCTAATGTATTGCTAATTTCTATAATCCTTACTCATTAGTACTCTAATAAACCACTTACTCATAAAACAAAAACGATCGTAATCCACTTTTTGGGTTGGCCAACTTCGATGTTCAATGGTTGTTGCTCAAGTGTCTTCGATCATGGCCAGCTACTTTCGTGACAAGGCCATTTATCATGGCTAATCAGTTGTACTAGCTATAGATTCCGTTACATGTGCATCAAAACGCAATGTGTTATGAAATATGGGTACCTGCGTAATAATAGAGAACATCATGGAAACTAATGGCGGCGCATCTGGACATCTGTATCCTGATACAGCCACTAATCACGTACATTATTCATATCAGCTTAGTCTAATGGTACCGTCTTAATGCTGCCGAGTCCCTGAGAGGGCAATCAATTCTGAAACACTAGATCCTGCGCTGTGGTTTGTATGGAGTGGAGGGCTCCAAACAGATGGTAGACGTCACGCAAAACTGTACATCAATATGTATATGCAACATTTTCAAACAATAACGGCACACTTTCTGAAGATGTACCGATTTATTTGACGGCTAGAAATGAAAGTATGATATTACAAAGACAAGTAGAAAGGTCTTGGTAATCTGAAAATGGTACAGGGAATACAGGTGATTCAAAGTGTACTTGAATCATTCTTGAACACAGATAAACGCATCAAAATAAGCCCCAGTAATATCGGACCATATGCTCACCATTACATAATGGGGAAAGAAAGAGAGGCTAGGCAAGTACATGCAAATCACTGTGGTCTAACGGTCCTGACCTCAGAAAAACGCCAATAGAATGAATATACTCTACAAAGGAATGATACGCCTCGAGAATATATATAGCAAATGACAAAAGTTGTTTGGTCGCTTAGATTGTCACTTGCAACATTTCATATCAGCCGTACTCTCCGAACTAATTGATTCATTACCACAGGAAATTACCGACGTTATAGAACGATGATTTGTGTGGCTTTTCCGGTCCCCTGACTAATCCTTGCCGTTCCCCTGCTTAATTAATTTGGCAATTGCTAATTCATCTTGTACAGGCGGCGAACAAGGCTTGGGTATGAATAAGGCTCTGTGATCGCTTTGAATTCCCATTTCGAATTACAGAACAGACGCCGTACGGTGATAGACTTCAAAACACCTGGATGCAAACGTCCTACATGGAATACACTTGAGATCAACGTACTTGACCTAGCAGCGTCCTATATACATGCTTCAAGTTCATGTGCGGTTGATCAATCGCTCGCAACCGCTTGCTGGCTGCTGTTTTTGGATACATTCAGGAACCACAGCAGGGCTTAAAATTTAGGCCGGGACAACTAAAAGATACACTCTGAAACATTTTTGGGACAACAGAACAATAATCAACATCAGAATGTCAGCCATTCTTTTGTTTATCAGGCACACGTCCCAGCTTTTGGATCCGGAAAAGTCCCCCAGGAATTTTCCTGTCTACTGTGCATTTATAGTGTACATGGGAGTCAGAACGTAAGCAAAATAAAGTTGACTTCAAGTTGAAGTCGTACAATACAAAAACAGGCTGGAACAGTTAATCCTCACTTCGGGACAATTGAAATGTATTTTTTCGGACAGTACTGGGATAATAGGAAGAAAAGTTAATTTTGAGGCATGCACAAGCACTGGATCTCAGAAACATTTTTCGTTCTGTTCATCTTTTTGCAGGCCGTGCTATCTGTGCTGATGATTCTTCCGTCCAACTTTGACGTCCTGGTGAACTACTTCAGCTTCGCGGCCTGGATGTTCTACGGCGGGACGTTCCTGGGCCTCATCGTCCTGCGCTTCACCAAACCAGACATGCCCAGACCGTACAAGGTGCCTGTTTGTTGCATCGATATATTGTCTAAACACTAAACACTGGAAATGCCGTTGATGATTCTGTCGTGACTTGTCATTCTGAAAAGACGGCTCCCTACATCAATGTTACACTCCCCAATTGCAACACCATACCGCCATGTTTACTACTTGAACATAAAGTTTCAGTTTTCTCAGTGCAAAGCCACAAGGGCCAATTCTGGGCACTGAACCAAGCTAACTGCAGCAGCAACTTTTCTAATTCAAGCTTAGGCACATTTGAGTACCTGACTCAATAGGCGAAGCAGGAGTTACGAAGGCTGCTCAGGAAAATCCCTATAGCTACCCCCATTTTAGGCAGGAATGGTTTGATATGATCATCTACACTCACATCGGGAAGAGCCTCTTTTCGATGAGTGTGCCGGGTTCGTTTGCATGTTCGAGGTGTGGCTCTCCTCAAATATGGGACCTCCATTTAACGTCGTGTCCGAGGGACGTCCCTAACCGAAGCTAGGTACTCATTGCCATGGTAAAACATGTCCTGTATCTGCTTTGTTGCCCACTGTTTGAACTTTCTGCCACAGGTCCCTATCGGCATCGCTATTGTGGTGACGGTAGCGTCAGCCTACCTGGTGGTGGCTCCTGTCATCTTCGAGCCAGCTCTGGAGTACCTGTACGCTCTCATCTTCATCTTCGCTGGGCTCATCCTCTACATCCCCTTTGTACATTACAAGATATCGCCAAAGTGGATGGGTAAGGATGGCGTCATCTCCATTGGATAGGACTTGTATTGCATCTTTTAGATAGCCTAGTTACTAGACCTATTATAGCTCCCGAGTTCTACATCCTCTCCGCAAATAGGGTGTAGGACTCGGGAGCTATAATAGATCTGGTAACCAGGCTATCTTTTAGATACTTATGAATCACTTTATCTTCGCGGTCTGGGAAAAATGGACATGTTCGTAGAACTATACCTTTGCGATGGCAACTGGTGCAGAAAAATGCAAGTCGGCGAATTATTTGCTCGTGGTAATGATAAATTTGCGCTACAGAAGTGACCGCGAAAACCGCGAATATAAAAGTACCGCGAAAAAAATCGTTATTTACGTATACGTCAATTATTTCCGCTTAGGGAAAGCACGGTTAGACAATAGATGATACCGATACTACTCCTTTTCTCTTACAGACCCAATAACCAGGCAATTGCAGTGCATCTTGGATGTGGTTCCAACCGAGCAGGAGCCGCTCGGGTGAAGTACCAACATAAGGAACGAGGTGGCGCTTTTGATCACGACGAGGTAACCGAAAGCTCATCACATCATCCAAGATGGCGGCCATAGAGTTATCGACATGTCGTAGGATCTCAAGTCGCGCCGGTGACTTCCAAATGTCATTCTTGTGTCCAGCTCAGTATTTGGGTTGACATGGAATGACCTCGTAGCTGGCCTAGTACATTTTACCTATTAATGGTATAGGTGTTGTCGTCAGGTGTGTATAGTCAGCTAGCTGGATATAATACAAACCTACATCCTCAACTTTTCTCTCACAACTTGTGCAGTGTCCGTGAACAGTGAAAATATTTTACGATGATAATTCCTTTGACTGGAATATTTTTGTAACACAGTGACATCTTTTTGCACTTCACTTTTATGATGTTTGTAATATTGTAGTTTGTACTGTAATTCGAACAAAGTGACTAAGAGTTGTAGGCGATATTATAACAAAAGGAAATCGTAGATGTATATTGTTGTCTTCTTTGATACCCTTCTTTATGCATTAGCTTCTAAAAATGATATAGCTTCTTGAAGTTTTATAAATCATGTGTATGTACTACACAATATTTCGTTCAGACTAGATGGTTAGATCGATGACCAATGTGAAATGTGAGTTGCATATGTAACCGCAGAGTAAGGTATTTGGAGGAATATAACTCCAATGTTTTCTTTCATAACTCACTGTCCAAACTAAATCCTCAGGCGATAGCTGTGAGAGAATGTTCTTCTGATAATCGTTCGTGTACATGTACCTCCTAATACTGCATATTCAAACCAATGGTCTTTGGGAATAAGTGAAGGTATAAGCATACAAACAAAGTTTGATATGATAAAGAGATTGTATACTTCTGTGTTAGTGGTAACTGTTCCGTTTCATTTCCTTCAGTCAATGTAACAATTTAAAAAAAAACTAATGTAAATATATCTATGTGATTGTAAATGTAATGTATGTTTATGTACGTTGTTTAAACAACATCTGTGTTCTCTTGTTGTGATATTCTCAACCGAAAAGACTAGCGTCACAGAAAGCGGGACCGAAACTTTAACGAGTAATCTGTATGCATATGAAATTAAAACGGGTTCGAATGCGGAAAGGATTGGTATCGAAGAACTGAGAGAAATGACTCCAAATGTTATGAGAGTACGTCTCATGAAATATCGACATTTGCAGAGAAACACGTTTGTAACACTTATTGTCATTCCTGTGTACAATATGTATGTATGAAGTGACATGTTCTAATATAGTGCACGTTGTTGGTTGGTTGGTTGGCTGGTTGGTTGTTTGGTTGCGATATGTGCATGTCTCAATTCTGAGATTTAGTTGTGGTGAAGAAAGTATGTCGGCGGACGAAACTGTCCTTTGTGTTTTAAAAAAACGTACCAATAAATCTAATTTTACCAACTGAGTTGGACTGCATATGGCTTCTCTCTATAGATGGTCATGCGAGGTTTGGAGTGAATATATTTGTGTGAATTCTAACCGTGTGTGGAGTCAGTGTGTGTGGGCATCAAGAGGAACGGTTGCCCAGGTACCTTCTAGAAGGGAAGCCGAACTTTAGGGGACGCTGACACTTTTTTCTGTAAGAATGATTAACCTTTTGTTATGGACTAACAGCTTATCTCTATCCCTGAAATTAGATCAGAAATTCGAACCGACGTTCATACGAGTATTGCGTCAACCACCTTAAACAATTTTTTTTTTCAATCAGGGTAAGACAATACACGAGAGAGCAAGAAACGGTACACAATTCTCGCCAAGTTCCATTTCCCAGTTGTCATGGAAAGGAAAGGAAAACAAATTAAAACTAATCATTTCAATTTCCTGCGCCCTAGTATATAAGAACCACCAGGTGGCTGGTGACCCATTCTGTGAAAACGTAAGTCACGATGGCCGGCGGACTGTTGGCCGTCCTGGTGATAGTTGGAGTTCTGGGTCCGAGGTGCACCTGTGTGGACGGGGCGCCCCAACCAGCTAAAGTGGATCCCATTGTACTCCTACAAGACAGCGTTGGCGCACTTTCCAAGCGGCTTGCAGTACAAGAATCTTACTCCAAGACCGTGAATGGTCAACTGAACCTGATTCAGACTGACCTGAAGGATATAAGGCGATACGTAAGTCAGATACAACATGTCCAACCGTCCACTCAGAACCAGGGGTCAGCCCAGACCACCCCCGTCGTGGCACACGCCAGCATTTTGTCTGCCTGCATCGACGACAAGGTGTACCGTAAAGGTAAAGCTGAGGTGTACATCAACGATATCGTATACACCTCAGCATCAGATAACGTGAACATTGTCACCTTTAACCAGACCACCGGGCAAGTGGCGGCACACGTGGGGTTCGACACGGCGCGGGGAGAAGGCGGAGAGATGCGGATGTACCTGGACAAGATCCCGGCTCACAGCGTGGTGCTCATCGCTATCCGGGACGTCGCGGTCAGTCGCCTGCCCATGTCTACTGACCACAGGCTGATCGAGGACCTCAGTCTACGGCTGACAAACTCTACCAAGGCGGCAGAGGAAGATTGGATCGAAAAGGACACATCGTGGGCCATCGAGTCGACTGGACACCCACATGTGACTGCAAGAATGACGTACGACGCCGGTAAAGTGCTGGATGGGAGGGTGAACACCCTGTGGAATCCTGGTGGAATGAGCCGATATCACAACAACTGGTACATCATATTCGATTTCAAACAGTTTTACCAGATTTCGACGGTGAGAATCCGAAATTATGGCGACTGGACCCACGACGTGACCAGGTTCGTTTTCCAAGCGTCCTACAAAACAGATCCGTCGTACGACTGGATGGACGTCGTGCGCGGCGAACTCGAGGACACACGTAACAACCTCCAGCAGGAGTTCGGCGGCTTCTCGGCCACTGCGCGGTTCTGGCGTCTCCTCATCAAGGAAACTGGGAACGGCTACCAACCCTGGCTCTGCGAGGTGGACTTCTTCGGGTTCCAGTCACCGATGATGGCCTCCTTTGCAGCGATCGTCAAGAAGGGCTCCAAGACATCCTGGGCTGTTGTCGACTCCAACATGATCGTGGCTGGAGCTACCATCATCGAGACTGCCATTCCTTTACATGGCTAATGATTGGAAGAATATAACACTATATTACAGTGTTTCATATCCCCCGCGGGGGTCAATGCGATGCAGGGAGCTTTTCTTTTTGTTATGTCTTACAGATTTGTAGGTAATAATTTTGCTCACTTCAGCCAAGTGTTTGCCGTGATGATTGTTGCTTTTGAGTGTTCGATATAACAGTTGGTGATCTTGGTGAGTTACTTATTACATTAGAATACGCACACTCCATGGACAAACTGTAGTGACAACCTGGGTGTGCAAGTGCGCGACCGTAGCCGGGATAAGAGGTATCGTAAATTTATGTTTGTACATAACACTATTGTTCACTGGTCGCCACGCACGTGTTAGGAATAATTTGACAAAAATTCACGGTTTTATGAAATTATGTTTGCTCTCACCAATATTTTAACCGCAAAAGGGCTAGTGATATTTAATCATGACATGCGCAAGTATTTTCACAATCCGTATACAATCGATAGGTTTTCCTCATGCTAAAGTTTCAATACCAACTAAAACAGGAAGATCTTCTGATGATCATTTCTCTCCTGTTTCTCCGTTCAAGGGGAAACTTTTAAAGTGGCATTACGTTGTCCAATTCAGGTATTTTTAAAGTTTGGAATGGTCTTTTAGCACGTATACGTTTCTAATTAAACACTGTTCAAACGCCTATGGTACCCTTTTTATTTGGAGAACTAATCATAGATTCAGACAGAATTTTACGACGAATAATTCTACCTGAAAAGTTCGATTGAAATTGTGTTTGCCATGCGGTCGGAAAGCTGATGCATTTTTCGGCGGCCAATGCCGACACCTTCTGCTGTACAGGTGCGCCTTACGTAACGTGCTGAACACATCCTGAATGTCACGGGCGCGCAGTGCAGCTACACTTTGTTTGTTGAGCTTTTGTACTCTCCAAGTAGATCAAGGTTTGGGTTTTGGGTTATTTTGGGGCGTGTTTTTAGGTTTTTTTATCGGGGTTTGTTTTTTGCACTGGATTTTTTTTCCTCATTTTTTTTTCAATACCCAAACCTCTTTTGGGAGAGTAGAGCTTTACGGGGTTTCAGTCTACCAACTCTTTACCGACAGAAACCTCGTAAAGCTCTACTCTCCGACCAAGCAGAGGATTGGGTACTGAAAAAAATGAAAAAAAAAAAATTCCAGTGCAAAAAACAAACCCCGATAAAAAAAGCCTAAAAACAGGCACAAAATAACCCAAGACCCAAACCTCGATCTGCTTGATGAAGAGTAGTAAAGCTCAACAAACAAAGTGTAGCTGCACTGCGCGCCCGTGACATTCAGGACGTGCTCAGTACGTTGCGTCAGGCCCACCTGTGCGGTAGACGGTGTCGGCATTGGCCGCAAATTGCATCAGCTTCCCGACCGCATGGCAAACACTACATGACGGAGAAAAGTCAACCCGCGGCGGATGTAAACATCGTAACAAAGCCCTCTTGCATAATAGCAGGGTTAATATGTGACTTATCAACTTTTGTAACGTGTCGATGACGGAAATGCGCGGCAATGGGCGTTGCAGGTTGCAGGTTGATACAAAAACTTCGCTACACTTTCTTACACAGATGGGGTACGAATGGTTACAGGATCGGACAATGAATTCTAGCTTCTAAACATGTATACTAGACTGTTGAACATGTTCATCTGCAGTGTTCCCTAAATAATGAAAAAAAGCACAAGTCTTTGCCAGTAAAAGTTTAAACCTACCGTCAAAACGTCCGACAAAAATTAAAGGAATCTGATAAGAAAGTGACGAGACAGGCAATATTCTATATCACGGCTATTTACCATATTGGTGACTTACGACACAAGAGGTTATACTAAGGTTATTTCATCATGTGCTGGAAGGTACCAAGGGGGATATCCGTACATGAGACGCGATTGTTTTCCTTTGATCGTTACTGTTTTGATATAATATCTCTCATCCTATTCTTCCCTACATTCGAAGACGCTGTAGGAGGATAGTTATAGGTTCCATCAATCACATTTTGAGACCCAGTCTAATCTGTTATGTTAAACCTAGTTGAGTTTTCTTAACCCCTTTTACAACCTCTGTGTGTCACCTAAAGTCCTCCACGACCTGACAAAATAGCACCACCCATGGTAAATAAATTAATCGACAAGAACGGAACACATGACCGGGGAAGGGCGCGGTAAAAAAAAGTGCGCCACAGTCATAGGAAGCAGCACCTTGCATGGTAAGGACTGTCGTTTTGTATTGTAGCGTTGTTTTAGAGACTATATGGCTAACTTTTTACTAAACTGGGCGTTAGGAATGCTTCATTTAGCACGTAAACATGTGTAGATAGAAGTTTACCACGTTGCATACGCCGTACTGCGTTTCTATGTCAATGTTTTGGTCCCCGCCACAGTGCTTCCTCGGCTTTCTATGCCCGTACGCAAGAATACAGAAAAAGTGGTTACCCCTCCGCTCTTTTTATGACAAATTTGACGTATATTTCACAAGATTATCACAATTGTAAAACGTTATATGTTCAAAGTCCAACAGTGCAGTAGCCGGTGTACTGGCGTCGTTAGAGCAAACACAGACTGGCAACCAAATAATCCAGCAGGTAACCATATTTTGGAGGAGTGTAGCTATGTTCAATCATCCACGTACCGTGCCAGGTGCTAAATGGTACAATAGCAACAGTATTGTAGACCATTTCAAGTAGTACTAGTCATTAACTTTAGACCAAAGGCCTGATTTTTGACACATTTTTGTTACTATTTGTTAGACTTTTTGTGGTAAAATTTAGCATCTCTTATATGTAAAGGTTAAAAAGATAGTCCCTCATTTAACCACAATTAAGGTTGTTGTATGACACTCAGAATTCTGATGCTGCACCAGATACCGTCAATTGGTGAATGTAAACAACCCACAGCCACAAAATGGTGCAAAATTATCCAGCAGTTCTACTAAGAAGCAAACCAATATTGGGATGGACCGTTTCATACCATTTATATTCTTTTTCTGACAAACAGCGCTCCATATGTGTCAAGAAAAACGTCCTAAACATATGCTTAGAGATTAGTTCGGTTGCATTAGTGCTGCTTATGTGTGAAACTCTACATCTTAGCAAGGAGCTTCAAACGTCCTTGATCTTAGCCAATGGTTTTGCATATAGAAGGGAGACAACATGGACTTAAGCTGTTGAGTGATTGTAGTAGACTCAGATCTAGTGTATATGTGTCAGTATCACCATACATCCGAAGATGAGACATCATGTGATGCAGTTCACCACTTAAAAACAACCCTCCCTCCCCATTGTTCCAAGTTACGTAAGATTTCACGAAGAAAAGAGAGCATATGAAAGGGTGGCGTAGACCCAAGGTCTCGATTGTAAAGCCCTTTATTGCTGCTATCAATGTTTATACAGAACCTTGAGCACTCGCAGGTGCAGCCCGCTCTTACGTACATGTAGGTACACACGTTTTGTTACACGATCATAATTCACTGTCATTTCAATGCCTTTTGTTTCGGGACCATTAAGCACCTGCATATTTAACCATATCATGGATTGAGATATATTTGCTTGATATGAGCATCCGTAATAACTGCGTATCAAGTGTGAAACAAACGCCGTATAAACACGTGAACGCCCACCGGATATGTTCAACAAGTGGGTTAGTTCCCATGTCATTGTGACTAAACGTTTCAAGTGATAATCGTGCGCGTTGCATCAGCCAGTTTTACCGTTAGTTTACCCAAGAACTATTAAATTTAGAGGTGTACACGGAAGGACTTCAGATAGTCCAGGGCTGTTTAGAAATATGAAGTGTTTCTCAACTCGGTACCTGTTTCTGAGTTTGTTGGTTATTTGCCTACCAGGTTGGTATGACCCCAAACTGCCAATACAGATAAATCAGGTAGCTGCTGACCACTTGAAAAGCGCGTTGAAATCACAAAGAAGGTCTTGTACGTGTGATTACATCGTAACTTTGTTAGAGTAATTACCTAGAATCAGGTTATTTGGAATAAATGTTGACAAACTCGCAATAAGTATCCACACACGACGACCACTGATTTGTTTCTAAAAAGCACATTTTATGAAGATACTGACCTAGATTTTCATGTTCATCTATAATTCTAACGGACCGTTCGTGGCAACCACGAAAAGGTCCATGCATTCATTACGTCCTAACAAAAAGAATTCTACACGACAACTAGATATGGAAACCTTCAAACGTCTCAACCTACTTGCATATTAGTTGTTTGTGGTATTTCCCTGTACTGTTATGTAAACATTTGCTCTTTATTAGTTTTAACCACTTCATTTGGTCTGTGGTATTACAAGTTGTTTTGGCAACATGCATGGATGTCTACGATAATTGAGCATAATAACCCCCAGAAATTGACAACTTCAAAACCATGTGTTTGTTTACTGTTTGTCTAAATAGTACTGACATGACAACAATTAAGCGCATTCAGGGGCAGTCTTTCTAGCGAATGCCCACACAAGTACGTGATGACGGACAGCACACTGTCTGATATACATACTTACTCTACGCCACATATGTCTTCCCTAAAACTTGACAAATATGTGGTAATGTGGTTTTTACCGGTGAACAATCGATTGAACTCGAGCGCAGAACATGCGTTTTTGACAGGCGCACCCGCATTGCAGTTAGTCGGACCAATTCACAGTGTTTGGGGACTTGGCAGCACTGTTAAAGTTTCTATTCAACATGTCAAAAACGCACACAGCGATGTTTCCACGCCAGAGCCATCAGTCAAATGCTGTTTACCATTTACAGAACTGGGTCGCTTGGCTCGCTTGCTATGAATGTGGTGCTGTGTTTATGTATTCGTTTAGGATCAATGAGTGTTACAGTGGCATGGTAAAGTCAGAGGTGGGCTGTGGGCCAACAGGGCGTATCCCCTAACAAAACCCATCCGCTGGAACGGCAATTACTCCGATCTCTAAACTTGTTTTTACCAGTTTTGTGTTCGGATGAGCAATGCAAAAACTCATTAACATTTTAGAATAACTTAGTTATATCCTCATTATGCACAATTGCACTTTCCTTCGCTAGAAGAAGCCCAATTTGCACAAATTTGAAGTAAGATGTTGTAAAACTGTCTAAGGTCAAGGCAATAAGAAGTGACTTCAGTTATAACGATATACAGCAAAAGCCATGGCATAGATAGGGCACCTGACTTGCTAGTTTACCGAGTCATACCTACAAAAGCTACATACAAAAGTTGAAAGTAAAAAGAAGTGACGTAAGAAATCCAACCTATCTAGGGTCCCTACTTAAACGTTTCTGTAGATCATAAACCTGTTAGTATTGCCAGTACATGAAATGAATCTGAAAGTGTTTTTGTTGAATTTTATGTATTTTATTTCAGACAACTAGCCACATCGCTTGAGCCACAGAGCCTCGACAAGATGTCCGCAGAAGACATGGAGATGAAACACCGGGGGTCTGACCAGCAGAACGGCTCTCTCACCGCTAAGGAGCCTCCCGGAGTGGAGACCGTCCAACTCAAGAAGCGGGTCGGACTCTTCAGCGGCGTGGCGCTGATCGTCGGCACCATGATCGGTTCGGGAATCTTCGTGTCGCCGAAGGGCGTGTTACGAGAGGTCGGCGGAGTCGGGCCTAGCCTGCTGGTCTGGACCGGTTGTGGAGTCATCTCAATGATGGGTAAGACTTTCCCTTATATGTTTTGTCGTGAGAATCAAGTTGAGCGTTCTGACTGTACGTTTGCTACCTTCCCAGGTCAACATTCGAGGCAAATGTGTATTCCACGGTCTGTCAGTACCTATAGCTCCCACTAGTTGTATCTTTAGCACACTACACTGCGCAAGGTGAACAAAACATCCCGTTTTGCTAACAATACAGAGTGAATGTAATTAGGCTAAAGGTAACGCAATCTTTTCAAGCCAGGTGGTCTTATTAAGTTGAGTTCGTTGACCCTTTACTCTGGAGATTAAATTTTCATTTACTTTTTTCATTTACTGTTTACTTCCTAATTCAATCTGGCCTACAAGGTTAACTGATATTTCAGACCACCTGCCGAGGGGTGTTGAAAACTGATTTTTTTTGCCAAAATTGAGTCTCCTTTTAGTACTGCTTTGTGCCAATCTGAACGGTCAGTGAATGGACTTAATTGCCCGTCACCTGAAGTAAACATGTCAGGACTGCACAGGAATGACGTGGGGTACACTGAGACAGCACCTGGTCCTCAACTCAGGCATTTACAATGGAGAGTAAACAATAAAGCAACAGTGGGTGAACAGCATTGTAAATGTTACGAAGGACCACATATATGAAGTATTGTCTAGCCTGTCTCATTGGATTCTGTCAAGCATACATCGAACATGTTACACGCATAGTTTATGATCAACTTTGCTGCCCCTTTGTCCTATAGTTATTTCTTATCAGCGCTTTATACACACCATGGCCAGGCGTGGCCACAGTTCTTCGCCTGTTATCAACATGCATGTTGTAGCAAACACTGTCAGAGACAAGGGTCGAGTATTGATTGACTAATCTCGTATGAAACTGCAGATCACAGCTATATTGTATTGACTGAATATCATTCGATAAGTAGTGATATATTAATCCTTAAGGCTATCTTTCAAAACAAAACAAAACACGTAGACAGCATGTTGACACTATGGATTATAAGGGGGATGGGGGGCAACTTGAAGATTATAAGAAAACTAAACACTTTTTTGTAGCACATAACTAGAAATTCATAATAAAATTTTACTCTAAACGGAGCCTAGTCTGTTCCCACTGCTTTTAAACACATGATGTTTATAATAATGTAATAAAAGTTTATGTATAGAAAATATTAATACCTTAGATACGCTAGGTTCAGTGATGTTGATTTTTGACTCCCAACAGGAGCCCTAACATACGCCGAGTTGGGAACAATGATAAAAGAGTCCGGTGGAGAGTATGCCTACCTGTTCAAGGCCTTCGGTCCCATCCCGGCCTTCCTGTTCCAGTGGACGAACGTCATCCTGCTCAAACCGTCCTCCCTGTCCGCCATCGCTCTCAGCTTCGCCATCTATGTGGGACAGCCATTTTACCCGGCATGCGTTGTTCCCGACGCTGTGGTCAAGTTCCTAGCCGCTGTCTGTATCGGTAAGTCCGGGCAAGGATTTCTATCATTTTGATTATTACTATGATTTCGTGTTCAGTTTATGCTAGTCTACACGTAGATTTTCTGTTAATTCTATTGTACAATTTTAGCACATTCCGTTGTTATAAGTTTTGTATTACTTTAGTGGACTCCAGGAAGACTAGTGATTGTATTCACTAATGGATATCTAAATAAACCAAACCAAACCAAACCAAAACACTAGTCAAAGAAACTGAGCTTTATGGAAGATTTATAAGTTAATGTGTGTATTGTTGGATTTTTACACTATTTCTGTCATTGCATCAAAATGGGTAGGATGCGCAAGAGTATGGCCATAACACATTAAAGTAATGTGGGTTTTGGCGCGCTAGTGGCCTTGTACCACAATGGCAAAATGCTGACGTCTCGACCCATGTCCCGTGAACGAGATAATGACTCAGGCTGTACAAACCTGTGCCCTAAATGACACCATAGGCAAGGTAACAGTCAACAAGGGCGGTTCCTGATGTTTGTCAAGTCACCTGTACCAGGGTACCACGTGTGGCATACATCATGATCAGAAATCGTTTTTCTGGCATGGGTTAAGTCGTAAACACCTACCTGTGATACGGGAACGTACCAGAAACTATGTAATCTTGACAACACTTCTCAAAGCTTGTTTTCGTACTTCCTTCTTCCTACTTGATTGTGATTGATTTGTTTCAAAGGCAAAGCAAAGAACAAAGCGACATGAGTAGCGATAACGTCGCCTTTATCTGTCGACCTTGATTTTGACAGTAGTAACGGGCCATGCAGTCGCAGCTTGGGACGCGACGCAGCAAGCTTTCGATGTTGTTCAGGCTTCATCCTGCATTGAGCCGGATCGAGCCGGATCGAAGCCGGATCAAAGCGAATCAATTCGGCTCGATCCGGACAATTTTATCCTAGTAGTGGGAACGGGGCCTCAGAACTGGTCTGAAACCATGTACTGCGCAATCATTTACGTGTTACTGAACTTTGTACACAGTCTTGGTGACCTCCCTGAACTGTATAAGTGTGAAGGTGGCCGCCCGTATCCAAGTCTTCTTCACCGCTATCAAGGTGTTGGCCCTGGGGGTCATCATTGGTGTCGGCATCTACTCTTTGGCTATAGGTAAGGTAGATTGACATGTCTTATCCCTAAGTGGCATTCTTATGAATTAGATATGTATTCAAGAGATAAAATGTTTCATACTCCTCTCGCCTTACAATCTCACAATAAAGGCCGAGTCGGTTGGAGCTCTGTTGTAAGTTTTGGTGACTAGTAGCGAGATAACACCACACTATATCGTCAGTTTGAGAGTCGCGTATGTCACAGTAAGGGAACTATTTTGTATGTATGTATGTATGTAAGTCCCATAACCTTGACGGTCGTCGGGGCACCATGACAGCCAGCAGCATGTCTGGACTTGTCACGATGACTCCTCAGGCTTATTCTTGGCGGCGCCTATCTCCTCTCCAAGATTTGGCCGATACAGACGGAGGTCGCCAGGCCTCCGTCCGGGTGAATGATGTGAATCACCATATGCATGTGGCTCATACAAGACGGAGGTCGCCAGGCCTCTGTCCGGGTGATTTGAAGTGATTCACCAACTCCATACAGTAGTGTCTGTACCATCGCACACCGGGGCATGCCCCTACTCTTTTTCGAAAGGTGTGGTGGGATCTTTAACGTGCTCGAGGTGAGGCTCTCCTCAAACACGGGACCTCCAGTTTACGTCCTATCCGAGGGACGTCCCTTGCCGAAGCTAGGTACTCATTTACACCTGAGTGAAGTGAGGAAATCGTGTCAAGTGCCTTTCCCAAGGGCACAAGATCGGTGACACGGGTGGGGTTCGAACCCACCGCCTCTGGGGTGTGAGCCGAACGCGCTACCGGCTGCGCCACACGACCCCACGTGAACTATTTTCCTTCACCAAATTTTGTCGCATTTGCACCAGGTAACACGCTGTGGCTGACTCCCGAGAAGGCCTTCCAGACCGGACACACCATCACCATCTCTGACGTCGGTCTGGCGTTCTACCAAGGACTGTGGGCTTACGATGGCTGGTGAGTAGGAAAAATGGTTTCGTTTTTCTTCTTTTCTTTCATAGTAGGATTTGATAATTGAAAAAAAAATCATACATACATGACATTATAGAGGCAGGACCACACAAGAATAAAGGTTACATTGATAAACGCACCTTTTTCTATCCTGGCTTCGTGTACTTCTTCTTCTTCTTCTTCTTCTTCCTCTAACAACCCCGTAAGGGGTATCGCTGAGGGGGGGCCGGGGGGAGGTGCGTGGACCTTACAGTAGAGAGGCCCGAAAGGCCTCCACAGATTGTGCCTGTACGGCCTGGGCAGGTAAACTGTTCCACTCTCGTATCGAGCGTGGGAAAAATGAGAATTTGAAACAGTCTTTCGTTGCAGGAATAATATTGTATTTAAAGGCGTGGCTACCTCTGGTGCGCCGCTGTGCAGGAATAAGATATTGTTCAGAGGCTTAATATTGTATGTACACTGACTATGTATTCTGTTTTATTTCATTCTTCAGGAATAACCTGAACTTTGTGACAGAGGAAATCCAGAATCCTGTCAGGTATGTTTTTCCCTGCTCCCTGAATAAACATTAGATTTTTAAAATCGTTTGGTTGAAAAGTGAAAAGACATGCACAGAACAGAAACTTGTAGTTCAGAATTGATCAACGGTTCTTTACTTCACAGAAACCTTCCCCTGGCCATCATGATCAGTATCCCGTTAGTCACCCTCCTGTACGTGCTCGCTAACGTCGCCTACTTCTCCGTCATGACTCCCTCCGAGCTACTGGCGTCAGGAGCTGTCGCAGTGGTAAGATCCTCAGCATCCAACATATAAAAACACTTCTTAAACTAAAAAATAATTCCCAGTACTTAAACCTTCTATCATAAATAAAGTTTGCGGGAGATAAACAATGTATTGTTAAAAATAATGAAAGTTCTAAGTAGTTATATACCGAGTGCGTTTCTCAAATCAACTCTTACGAACGTTTTCTATACTGTATTATGTTGCAGGATGAAGATCTCGTTTCATCATCTCGTGAGATTATACGTGACCAAAAACCGTTATATTTTATCTGTTCGGCTTTGTGTGGTCTGTTGCACTCTGTCAAAGTATTTCGTATCGCTCACGCTTGTCTGTAGTGTCACAAGTTATTGTTGTATGTTGTTTTATGTCCAGAATAAGAAATGTTGATATGTCGTCGCCATATCCTCGCTACCGGCACAGGAAAAATCAGGCCCTGCAAGACAACAAACTGTCCTTTTTCATTGCAGTTCATAAAACAGGACAAAACATGTTAAAGTGAGGGTTAGGGTTAAGTTAGCACAGACGTTAGTGTGTTAAGTTTTCTAATTTGAAAAAAAAAGCCAAGTTGTGCTGCAGGGCCTGTTTTTCTAGTCTCCTGTCATGTCCCGTACCTCTACCCTTTCACGCTTCGCTGCCCGCCTTGTTATTCTCCCACCTCGCAAAGCTTTTGCATGTCATTGTTTTCCATATCACTGACTACAATTTCTCAAATTGTCCACTGGCAGCGATCAAGGTTTGATTGCAACGAGCAATCAATCCATGCACCCATTCACCCACCCATGATCCATGCATCCATTCCTTTCCTGGTCCATCCATCCATCCACCATCAGCACAGCAGCGGCAGCCTCCTCATTCCCGCATACCGGCGACGCCACCTGGCGGTCACGATGATAATAACTATGACATTTCTCTCTTGTTTCTCCGCCAGACGTTAGGAAACAGATGGCTGGGCGTCATGAAGTGGATCATTCCCTTCTCCGTCGCCTGCTCGACGTTTGGCGCCTGTAATGGGACGATATTTACGTCGGGAAGGTGAGACGGGTGTGTCAGCCATGCCACGAAAACCAACCCTCTCCTACCCATCCCACACAATCCTCTAGGCGCGTACATACTAATCTGTGCACCTGTTTGATTTTCCCTCCCTCCGATGATGTTGTTCAGACGCTCGGTAACAGGTTCCTGGGCGTGATGTCGTGGGTTATCCCATTTGCCGTGGTCTGCTCTACCTTCGGGGCCTGTAACGGGTCTTGCTTTGCGGCATCCAGGCAAGTCATGTCCGACCGATTTATATCATCATGGCACAAGTAGGCAGAGTTAAAAGCTTTCACAGCAAGCGAGTACAAGTTGTTCTGCTTGTTTTGTTTTTTACACCACAGACGCTGGGAAACAGATACCTGGGAGTGATGGCATGGTTAATCCCGTTTTCGGTAGCCTCCTCCACATTTGGCGCGTGTAACGGATCGGCCTTCACTGGGGCCAGGCGAGTAATCCGCCGGGAAGAACGAGACAGTCCTTGTCTACTCTCCTTCTAAAAGCCTCATCTGACATCCATTCTAACTGTTGTCACGTCTTGCCATTTCACAAAAAAAAACGCAGGCGCGTAAAATAGGGCGTCACATTCCCATTCCTTATTTTGAGGATGGTAACAAGTGATATCAACTTGCAGCGAATTCGAACTAAAAATCCATTTATAAGTTATAGAAGTAGTATGAAAATAACAGACAAAATGCCCAAACTCGCGATATGTCCTTCATCTTAAACAAGTCGCGTTTGACCGCAGAATGCCCTTGAAGCTTTTACCTTAGTTCATGCAGTAAAAATTGAATCTACAGCAAATTGCCAACCAACCACCAATTTTCTACGCGCAAAGTAATTGCAAACTAAGCGGCGGCAACTGAATTAGAACTGAATCCTGTGCACTAGTGTTGCAATCAGACCTCCATTATATCCGCCTTATACAAAATTCATCCATTTCAACTTCAATTATTCCAATGCCATCTGTTTACTTTTCATACTGTTAAACTTATGATTTTTTTCTGTGGTAATCATATCGGTACTTTTGCACCAGCACAGCAGAGGTAATGTTAGAGTTCACAGTTCAGCAAAGTGCACGGTGATCTTACCACTTACCAGGCCTGTCCTAACCGCATAAGCGATTATGTTTATGCTTTCTGCTAAGAGCTTCTGTCATTGCTACGCAGTGATCCCTTAGAGAAATCTTGTTACCTAAATATAACAGGAGATACTGTCCTTTAGCAGTTACAGCTGCCAGATTTGATAGTTCAAACAGTGTGCATGCCCCCCTCCCCACCTGTCATGACACTACCCATCATCCTTTGTGGTTGGCCCGTCCACAGGTTGTGCTACACGGCTGCGCGGAAGGGCCACATGGTGGAGATCCTGTCCATGATTCACGTCAAGCTCCTGACGCCTTCTCCAGCCCTCATGTTCAACGTACGTAAATTAATGTTGCAAAACAAGCATTCTCCTTCATAGTCAACATGTAGTCTGTGGTCACAGTTGTAAATCAACATTATATAGGGGAAGTTTTAGCTTGGAACAGTATCAACAGCCATTCCGATTACGCATATACGTTACTGTATCACATACCATAAAACCGACGTGTTTTTCAGAGCTCTAGACAGAGGTCCAATATTGACATATGTTCGTCACTCTCCTGTCTTCCCTCAGTCGTTCATCGCCCTCATCATGATCATCCCGAACGACTTTGACGCCATCATCAACTACTTCAGCTTCGCGGCCTGGATGTTCTACGGCAGCACCTGTCTGTCACACATCGTCATGAGGTTCACTCAGCCTGACGCCGAGAGACCCATCAGGGTAAGTTTCTCCAGTTATCCGGCATACTTGGTGTATGGTTGGGAGGAGAATAGCGCTCACCTAAAGCCAGTCCTTGGCTGTTTGTAAAGTAACCGTGAGCTTTCCATGTGACTGTTTTTGAAAGGTAGAAACACAAACCAAATTTTCGATGTCGACTTTACATCTTGATCACGGAGTGACCTAGTCTCGCGAGAACACGAGACTGTGCGGATCTTCTGGCCTCCCCGCCTCCTTGCGGAGTAGGGGTAAGTAGGACTTGGGCAGCTGCCAACCTTCATTGTTTGCCTTGTTTACAGACGCCTGTGATTTTCCCCGCCCTGGTTGTGATCGCCTCCCTGTACCTGATCGTGGCGCCCATCATCAGCGAGCCCAACCTGTGGTACCTGTACGCCGCCATCTTCATCCTCGCCGGGCTGCTCTTCTACTTCCCGTTCGTCTACTTCGGCTACCACCCTCCGTTCATGAGTAAGTCTCCGTTTACCGTCACGTATTGTGTGGGGCATGCTGGGAAATTAGCTGATGGATGATTTGCCTATCCCATCATGCACCATATGCTATTACGTTATTTCTGAAAGAGCGGGACAAAATACTTAACTATATGGGAGATTGAGAACAGTCCATGAGTAACTCTCCGTTTATCGTCACACCTGTTCAATACCTTTTATCCCCCTTCCTTCTATTCCACTTCTGTTCAATACTTTCTATCCCTCTTGTGTGGGGCATGCTGGGAAATCGGATGCGGGTGAATGATTTACCTCTCCCATCATGCACCACATGATGTGACAGGTACTAGTATTGCGTTATTTCTGAACCAGCGGGAGCTCGAGAAACTACTTGACTGTATTATTACGAATTACAATACTAGAAAGGCCAATATTTGCTTTGGAGCAAATACAGCGATGGGTTCACCACATTTTACGACATGGCAGGGAAAGAATGAGAAACACAAGGGAAAACAATGATTTACATTGATATAACTATAATATGAAGTAAAATACAACTAAAACAACAGTTGGATAGCTATTCCCTACTTTATTGGTTAGGATTTTTAATTGCATAATGCAAACTGTTGATTTTCAAAATAAAAAAAAACGTCCATGCCCGGCATTCCAATGCTGGAGCAGGAAAGCTTGAAATACCTACCAAAACACTTGAATACAGACATACTGTCAGTATGGAAATGCTTCTGTGCAGGTGTTAATCAAGTTAAATCCCAACAGCCAATCAGCAAGAAGTATAGAGGAAAGCTGCATGCCTATTGGTTGATGCCCTGCCTTCCATTGTGATGACTCATGCCCAAACGTGGTAAACAAGGCACACTAACACAGTAATACATTGGCTATAACACAGCCAAAAAACTCAAATAAAACCATTCTAAAAGCCTGTATCACAATAATTTAAAAACGCCTAGGGGTATTTGCCCACTGTACCTCCATACCAAATTTCAGGACCTTGGGCCCTAAAATGAAGAAGCTGAATCCATTTAAAAAATGGCAGGAGGAGAAGGAGGAGGAGAAGAAGAAGAAGAAGAAACACCAGAAAAAGCAATATGGTTTCACCACACCACTTCGTGGTGTGGTGAACCCATAATAATACAGGATGCCCACACATGATAAACTATCATAAAAGTGGAACTTGTGATAACGCTCATGTTAATCAAAAAGCGCCAATATGACTTTGGTGAAGTTATTTCAGGACGTTTGAACACAACAACCGTTCTTTGATATCGATCTTATGTTGTTATCTTGGCGCACCGATATATCTAAACAGCATGACATGAAAAAACTTTTGACTGTTTTCTTTTCTGTCGTGCCCCCAGAGTACATCACGATGTTTCTGCAGTTGTTGATGAACGTATCGCCGCCCACCGAGGCACCGAAGGACGTATAACCCGTAACCAACACAAACCGACTTATCATCGTCCAGTCATCACCCAACATACTCGTGTCGTCGACTGTTATTTGAAGAGTTTATAATTAACGTCTCGTTAGACTGTAGAGTAAATATCCAACACTCTGTACATAGTGTAATCTAAACTGGGTGGAACCATCTTCGGCAGGGCAGGGGTGTTTAAAAACACAAACATGATACAGTACTATGGCCAACAAAATTGTCCCTTCTCTAGTTGGTCTTTTATTCAATCTATGTGCCAAATAATATGATAAAATGTACTGCCAGGGACACTAACTTCAGAAGGTCAATATATATAGTTATAGATAGGTACATAGCAGAGCCTTGTAATGTTTGAACTGATAGGGATGGACCGGTCACACTCCCTGGCCATGTAGCACGTAGTAAGGGACTTTATTTCCTGTTTCGGTAGCTATAGGTATTGTAGATATCTAGAACGAGATTACTAGTATTTAAGTCATGGAATGATTACTAAAAGGATTTGTTTCATGGTGTAACACATAAGTATAGTATGCCAAAGGTGTGTTATTTGCAACTGCCAAAGTTATACCTCTGGGTAGCATATACATGTACTACTTTGTTTTCCCTCAAAGTTCAAGATATCTGATACCATTTGTTTCATTGTACCTCGATATGCTGTCATTATTTACAAAGTGCACAAAATGTATAGTGCGTCCGGTGTAGGCTGTGGTACTGACTTAACTGGAGGTAACGTTACATGTAATACCGTTCCAAAACACAGAACCAAATCTTACTGTACTATAGCTATCATTATGAGAAGTCTGGTCAAATATTCTGCCTATAAGTATAATTAAATGTTCGAAGTGTCAAAGTATGGCTGTTCTTGAATATCAGTTAAATGTAAAGCATCAGTTCTGTTTGGAAACAATTTAGTCCTGTTCTTAATTTCTGCTCACGTACGACTTCTTCTGGTTCAGGGATAGTATTAGGTTAAAAGAGACACCGTGCGGTTTCTTCAAAACTGCATTTGTAGTGATGTGCAGTAATCTGCTAGGTTGATCTGTGAGTACATTTTGTGTATGGACGCATATGTGTGTGCCCGTGTGTATGCGTGCGCGAGCGCCTGTGTGTTAAAGTTTGAACAATAGCGTAAACATGTAAAGGTCTGCAGCGCACAAATTAAACGTAATGTAATCAATATCATATCTATAAACAAAAATATGAGATTCTGCCATAAAAAGATGCTGACATTTCAAACAAAAAATTTGACCTCAAGGTTAGTCAGGTCAAAGCCAGGGACTGTACAAGAACGAAGACATTTAATCTGGAACCCAAGTGTCACATCCAGATATATTTGCATGTCACACATGGTTAGACTGCTGAGGTCGGTTGAACTGTCGCGATCATTATCACTGTTTGGTTAACCACGAACAAAGGGTGACAGCTATGAGCAAAGGTTGAAAACACATAACAGAATCACCATGTAGCCTTGTATGTTTGTACCTATGGCTTTATATAAGACAGGAGACGGAGACTCCTTTTGAAGTTGGACAGCATGTTGCTCAAACGCCAGACAGCCGTGTGCAACGTAATAAGACGCACACCTAAAGGTCACTCAGGTGAGACGAAGAATGACGATCTGTCAACAACATGTGATCTTTACCGGGAAGTTGAAGGGGATTCCCGGCTGTCTGGGCTTCCCCTGATCTTAAGGAAACTCAGAACTTAAGTTTCACCTGCATACTGATACTCGGTCCTCACCTGGCTCGCGAGGCGTAGAAACTTTCAGACTGCCGTCTAAAGAAAGTGCAACAACACCGCGACATTTTCTGCGGAAGAACTTCGGAAGACAGAGAAGCTATGGCAGAGGGCAGGGGTAAGTGTGAACTTTTCAACGAGGACAAACCTCATAGCCGAGACTTTTATGATGCAATCTGTGCCATACACGCACAGACAACCTGGCAAAAAAATTACTGTAAATTTCACGATATATTGTAGAGGAGAATAGGTACTTGCTTTTCTTTGTTTTCCCCCCGAATCGTTGGCTCAACATACGAGGTCTCTTACAGTAGACCGTGCACTGTGACCCTCCCTGGGGATATGTATGTGTAACCATGGGTATGTCGAACCTTAGAATATGAAATCTAAACATGATATCACTTGCATGAACTTCAAGAGGTAAAATTTGATTGTATCGAACTGGACAAAAGTTGAAAAACTTGTTTGTTTTCAGAACTATTTGGACCTTTTTGAGCACCTGTTCGGGTCACTTCCTCTTTTTCCTCAACAGGTTGTTTCCGTGTGTTCAAAAGACAAGCACTTCTGCTTTAACACATGAAACGCAATGGAATTCCAGCGTGTTTGCGCTTTCCATAATAGGGTTCTGTGCTTGTCTTTTTAGTAGATTGAGATTGCAATCTCTTCTGTTATTGTTGCCAAAGTTAGTGACAGGGAAAAAGTTAGTCTAGTTAACATGCCGAATTCCCCTGAGCCAAGTCCCTTTCTATTTGTATAGTTTCTAAACTTGCCATTAGTAGCGTTACTGATATTCTAAACTATGGGCAATTACGGCAAGTCTTACAAAAGTTGTATCGTCCCATAAACAACCTCCTCAAATGAATTGACCTTGAAGGATTGTGTATGTAGGTAAGGTTACTCCACCCCGAGGTTCAGAAATAAACGTACGTGAGAAAGGGGACAGAGAAATCGAAAAAAAATGTCAAACTTTCCGATGATACATCACACTTTTTCATGTACAGCCATGTACGCACACACTACAACAATGATCATGATACAGAAAACGTCTTTATGTTTTTGACCTGGCGGTCAAAAGCTAAAGAATGAGCTGCAGATTGCGCAACACCGTGGAATTCCCCGTGTCACAAATAAACAAGTGACGTAGTTTCCAACGTAGGACTTGTTTGTTTGCACTTGCGTTGACGTAGTTTCCTTCTGTTATCAAGGGTGGGGATGGAAAACATTTTTCTACTGAGAAAGGTGACGACAGCTATGTGGTATGTATGTGGGTGGGGAAAGTCTTGCACATGTACTTTCAATTGATATCGATGATTATGGACGGCCTGAGTTGATTTCGCCTCGTCATGTGTGCAATTTTCAACTCTAGGACACCTCGCTGGGTTTTTTTTTCTGTGATGTCCTATACAAAATATAAGTGGAAATGAGGCCGGGGTAGAATACAGATTTCTGTTCAAATATAATTTACGACAATCAGATTTTTGTTTGCACTTGCGTTGACCGCCCCCTTTTATTATTTGCTTTGTGAAAAACACCCTTGCTACATGTTTGAGGACAGTCACTTCCAGGTAATAGTCACCTCTATACATTTGGGGGGGGGAATAAAAATGCTGACTCACCGTGACGTTTACCTCTGGACGAACATTGGATTACTTCAGTTAGAAACTGCTTCACTAGGATTAGAATTCATACAGAAAACACATTGTAAAATCACAACTTTTCACAGTAATCAATAAAAACCTATTAGAACTTGACATCATCATGTTCCTTCTATACTTGTTCCTCAGTTATCTACTTAGTGCATTTTGCCCATGTGGGGCGGGCGTGAATATGCAATAAAGTTCATTATGTTTACCGAAGGAAAATATATTGTTTTTGCTACGTTTCCTCTTCTTCCGTTCCAAACACTAACCCCTACCCTGACCAACGACCTGATTTGTTGACGTCTCTCACCATGGTAACTGGTGTTGGGTTACATAATGTTGCAATTTTATACATTTGTAGTAGGAGGGATTTATACTCCTGTCTGACCATATATATGAGTGTATTTGAGCAAGAATTAACAGAACATACCATATGCGAAGGTAAACATTATGCATTTGCTTTGCAAATGTTACCTGCCTAGTTGTCATTGTCATTATAATCATCCAGTGACAGTGCTATTTTTAATATTAACGTAAATGACTGGCCATACACGTGCATTTACATATATTTCCTCATGTTTTTTTATCACAGGAAGCCGGAACCGTAGCTCAAGTAGGCTGAGCCTTCTCACCGGGTCATCTCTCAGCCTGACTGGTAAAGGAATCCTCACAGTTGTCATGTCTCATGTTCTATATTTACCTTCGCCAAGAAGGTTATGTTTTCAGGGGCGTTCGTGTGTGTGTGTGTGTGTCTGTAAACACGATAACTTGAGAAGGCCTTGATGGATTGTCTTGATACTTGGTAGGTGGGTAGGTCTTGATGAGACCTCAAAATGATTAGATTTTGGACCCCCTAGCGGCATGTTATGGTACTGCAGCTGAACTTCCGGTTTTGATATCTCATGATCTAGACATGCTATGGTGATGAAATTTAGATGGTAGGTAGCTCTTGTGCTGGGAAAGAAGTGACGTGAGTTTAGGCCCCCTAGCGGCTTGCTCTGGAACTGCAGGGATAAATTCTTGAAAATATTCAAAAGGGGATAACTCAAGAACCGGTTGACGGATCGTCGTGATTTTTGGTATGTAGGTAGCTTACGTGATGCTTAATATAATTATGTGACAGTTATGCAAATATGGATGTAATTTGCATAATTTATGTGCAAATTCTATAAATCAGCTGCATTCCATGATAGAACAATTGAAGCTTGTGACATTGGTAATTGACAACGAGAGAAACACAGGAAGATATTGATTATGTTAATAATGACTTAATTTGCATAATTAATGAGAAAATTTTATAATTATGTAATGATAACTGCCTGGAATTTCATACTTGTGGTATTTGAAAGTTAAATTGAGGTGAACATCATTAAACATAATTTATTCAAATCAGGACCTCATTTGCATAATTTATTAGGAAATGCTAGAATGCATTCTTTGTTAATATAAGACTGTCTTTTGGTTGAGATTATGATAAAATGATATAATTCATGAAAATAAGGTTCCTATTTCTTAAATCAGGGGGGAATAATCTAATCTAAACATTGTCAGTCATAAAGATTAACATCATTTGGCGAAGGTATGAGATCGGGGAACTCTAGTTCATCTATATGTCATAGCATGTGACAGCATGTAAATCAACATATTAGCATTATTGACATGTTTTAATAGCCCATTGAAGGGGGATGGCTACTCTCTAGAGAGTAACAAAAACCAGAGAAGTGAATATAAAGTTAACAACTTATCTCCCGGTATACGATAAGGGCTGAAACATGTTTATATTTCCCCCACCATATTTGTTTTTCCCCCACCATATTTATATTTCCCCCACCATATTTATATTTCCCCCACCATATTTATATTTCCCCCACCATATTTATATTCCCCCCATAGTGTTTATATTTCCCCCATAGTGTTTATATTTCCCCCATCATATTTATATTTCCCCCACTGTGTTAACGTTTATATTTTCCTCCACCATGTAAGTGAAAATAATATCAGTTCATGAGAACACCATATGTTGTGTCAATAAAGAATGTTTTTCCCTTTTCTGTGCTACAGTTCCGTTCACTACAGATGTATTTGTGGCGTGTGCCGACAGTATATTTTTCTCTTTTCTGCGCTGCAGTTCCGTTCACTACAGATGTATTTGTGGCGTGTGCCGACAAGGACCAGGCGGTGGTGAAGTCTCGCGTGATCCAGCCCCTCGAGAGTAGGGACACCACGTGTCGCTACCCACAGCGAGACTTCATCCCCGGGCACAGCGAGCACAACAGCGTCGTGGAGGCCATGAAAACCAGCCGGAAGACAATAGTCGTGCTTTCCGAGAATTTCAAGGACTACAGACTGTCCCGTGTGATCCTTGCCCTGAGTAACCAGCTGATCACACAAGGCCGCGTTATTCCAGTAAAAATTGATGAGGTGAGGATTGTTTTACATGATTCCAGCGCCATGTAACTGAAAGCATTATGTTGTGGCCTCTGGGATGATTGACCTAGACGCATTTGGCTACTGTCTTAGAATGTTTGTATTATGAATGTAAATGTTTTTTCTTGTTCTGAAGCACGATTAAGTCCATTGAAAGGCCCCTAGTCGATTCATAGTACATCTATATGTACGCGTATGCAGTTATACATGATTTTCCAGGCTGCCTTTAGGATTGAGATGAGAAAGTGGAAATTGTTGGTTCCACTAGCTATCAATATCATTCACCTACTGATGAGTAAAGATATCTGTATACTGTAGGATACGGAGATGGATGGCCGCTTCAGAGATGTTGTGACCTTGAACATGACGGCAATCGACGAGGCAACTTTCATCGCTAAGCTGGAGGAGGCCGTGACTTTGCCTGATCAAGATTTGTCATCGGCATCAAGATCGCCAGGTGACCCATAACAGTCTTTATACAAGCTAAATACTTTAAAACTGACTGGTGTCTTTTCTTTTTAAACAAAATGGCGTACGGTAAGTGTGTTGGCGGTAACTACTTGCACGCCTGACATTCGTTTGCAGAAATGTAATATTGTTATTCAGACAACTTAAGGATTTGCTATGAAATGACTTCGATGTCATGGGGACTTTGCCCTGTCACTAGATTATTTGATAAGACCTATTTGATCTAAATGCTTCTATGAATTGTCTTGGAACCAAAGGAAGCCTTTTGGACGTCGCTGCAGTACCAGAGCTATACACACCAGAGGCAGAGAGCACAACGTCGTCAGAAACAAGCAGTGACAGCAGCACTGGGCACACTGACTTACCACAACAAGGTAAATCCCCAACTTTCATCTGCTATTTTATAATCGTAACACCATCATTACTTCAGACTGAACATCTTGCGCATCTGGACAAAAATGACATCCTTTGGTCTTTTTTCCCCAGAATTCTATGAGGCAGAGCCCCTCCACAGCGCTGCAATCAGGAACGCCGAAGATGCAGTTGCCCTATTCAATGACCTGCACAGGAGCGATCCATACTACATACACGCGGAAACACAACACCTAAAAGCAGTGACCAAGACGACGAGCCTCCACACCCTAGCCCACTTCAGCTGCTCAAAAAGCCAGGTGGTAGCAGACAAAGCACTCGAGAAACTTCAGGACCTTGTGAGCTCGCGCATGGGGCACTGTGATCCTGACAAGAACCTAGAAGAGTTACGGAAAGCCGAGGTTATCCTCAGGGAGACGATCAACAAAAAGGGGCAGGCGGTCATCATCAAGCGTACTATGCTTAGGCTGAAGACCTGGGACTTGATCGTGTACCAGCTCGGCATCCTGCTGGACAAAGGGGACATCGACCTAGAAAACAAGTTCTTTTCGGCCATCAGTGACTTCAGCAAGACAGACTTTAAGTCATACATGAACAAAGGGCTCGTGGCCAGCTACACAGTGCAGTTTGCCCAAAGTGCTGTGAAATACCTGCAGGATATCTCCAAACGCAAGGACAGCGGGTTCACGCACGTAGAGAAACTTGCGCAACTGGTGGAGTGCCAGACGGAAGGAACCTACAAGGAGCTACTGAAGTTTCTCCGTGACGTAACGACTGACAAAAAGAAGCACTTCTCGACTGAGATATTCCTGCATATCCTTAAGAAGAAGGTACGCTAACATATGAAACCAAATGCTATAATCTCAATGTCTGTCATCTCATTATATTCTGGATTCTTCAACAAAGCTAACTATGATATTGCATGTTGCACTGAAGTCAAAAAGGTATCCAACTATTTTTCTATGACATGTTTGTCTTTTCTTCTCGAAGGTTATGCGAGTGGAGGATGCCAGCACCATCTTCCTAGACGTGCTGCAGAAGGTACTTGATGGCATCCTAAAGACCAAGAAGATGGATAAGGTGTGCAGGAGTGGACTACTCATCGTGGGGACCCAGATCTTAGTCCACATCGCCTCTAACCATACCAACCCAGGTAGGATAGGCGTACATGTTTACACACGTGCAAAAAAAGAATAGGCATAGTGTTATCTAAATACCTCTGCGCTCTTGGAGCTTGGACTCACCTTTAGACTCCACCAAATACCTGACGTTTGTCAAACATAAAACATGCCCTTTTTGAACTGTTGTATTACATACATCACACCTTCATTGACGGCGGCTTTTCTCCATAGGCATCCGTGAACAGGCTGTCAACGGCAGCTACACGAACAACATGACCGGTCTGCGTCAGCTATGGGACTACGAAGACAAGAAATGGCAGGAAGTGGCATCAGAAGTGTCTGACCTCTGCACCCCTCTGTGTTTCATGTCGAAAGATGAGGCTGTCATTCGCGCAGTTGCCGACCGTTTTTTTACTGAAACGTCTACCAGTCAGAGGCAAAGCTTTGATCCCGAAGAGGTCCCGTACCAGAACGACCCCATGCTCAACCAGGCCAAAATGTTACCAGTAATGGTGAAAAGCATCAGGCATCATCTGTATGAGGATGGCGAGATTTTGACTGTCGAAGAGTCTCAGACTGCGAGCGGCGGAGCCGCCATCTCAATCAAAGGCCGGATGTCAGACATGGACGTCTTGATCAAGGTTACAAGGCACAGCACGCGAGAAGACCTGGTGAGTAAAGAGTCTGATGGCCTGAGGAAAGAGATCCGCGTCTTGAGAGGATTGAATCATCCAAACGTGATCAACGTCTTGGCCGCGCACGATGGCCCAACCCCGCCATCCTACCTGATAACACCGCGGGTGCAGGAGGAGACTCTCATAGACCACGTCATCGGCTTGCGGAGGGCTGTCCCTACCGACGTAATTGTAACGTTGGTCGATGCCTGCAGACAGATATCTGAGGCCGTGATCTACCTTTCTACCAAAGCAAAAGTCGTGCATCGAGACATCATGGCGGCGAACTGCCTGTGTTCCTCCCCCAACGGCAAGATGCATTGTCGCCTGACGAACTTTGAACTAGCCCGAACCATGAAGAGGTGTGGAAGTGAGGCGAGGCAGGGGACGAAGTACGAGTGTCCGGGAAACCCAGAGGACCCCATAGCCTACCGCTGGTCAGCGCCGGAGTCTCTCACAAAGGACATCTTCACAAGTGCCTCCGAGGTGTGGATGCTGGCTTGCCTTATCTATGAGGTCCTAACGCTCGGGGTACATCCGTTCCCAGAATGTGAAGATCCCAGGGGAATGAAGGACTATGTAAGTACCAAAAAAAACTGAAGCTGTAAGCTTGCTTGATAAAAAGATCGCGGAATTATATCACTATCTAAATACCATTTGTGTCAAGTGATGGCTTCCATGATGTGCAAATGTTTGTAACTGGATTCTATATATATCATGACACATTGCAGCTAAATGCTGGTGAGCGGACTGAACAGCCGTCTTGCCTTTCCAAGCTGGACGAAAAAAGCCGCATCTACCAGTTCCTATGGATGTGTTGGAGCGCTGAGCCGGCGGACAGACCATCTCCGGAGGATGTGCGGACGTTCTTGGAGAAAACAGCAAGGAGACACTCTAAAGGTAACCGTATTAGTATAATATGTATCTTCCAGTGAACAACTTTTCAAGTCTTGTTCCTTAGATGTATGTATGATATGTTGTGAAGTTACAACTTACAACTTTTATTACCAGAATTACGAAGTACGTTTCAAGCTCCTTGTTCTCTAACACAGGAGATTTCTCTCACGTGTTCGTGTCTCCTCCAACGCTAAGGGCTGAAAGTATCATGCGACGGGTGAGGATCTTTCCTTTCTTTCTTTTTATATCAGTGTGAATATGAAAGAAGAAAACTTCCATTTGTTGGACAGCTTTTCAGCAATTTCAGAAAGTGGCATTGTTGAAGCTTTGGGTTGCTGTTAGTACTGTGGAATAAGTTGACAGAAAAAATAGCACAGTAATATATCTCTTTTAAGTTGAATTCTACTTGAACAGACACAATATTCATATATGTCGATTCTGATTACATTACATATAATTTTTATTGCGCAATCAAAAATGTAGTACAATAATGTAATTTGAATTACCTTGACGGATTTCTATATCTCTCTATTTATCTACCAGTCTTGCAGCAGCAGCCAAGCGTCCATTGTGGCCACAGAAAACACGTTTGCCAGCAACCAAAGCACTGGCGACGATGATTCACTCAGTATCAGCCAACCCCTGTACTATGATCCTGTGGCTGCAGACTTCCCTAAGAGTACTCCGTGCCAACGTCCACGCAAGGAGAGTCATACTAGCGACATGGAGTACGATGATACAATCCAACAGGTATTTGATTGTGATAAACAAGCAAACATTGTGTCCCTGATTTAAAATATGAGTAGAAAATGATGATATCTATCCATCCCCGTTTAGATGTTTTGATACTATTTGACATTGTTTCGATATCGTTCCATTGGTTCCAGTCGCCCGTCCAAAGAGACCCAAACGATCCACCAAGCATCAGTCAGCCACTGTACGACACCCCTAGGCCTGTGGCCCCTGGCCTCTCTGTGAGGACCCCGAGTCAAACCCCACGGCTGGCAGGTCCTACTGTCGACACGGACGATTACGTTGATACAATCCAACAGGTACCTTACTGTACACGGCATATCAAACATGTACCCGATTGATGTTATCAATGGTTAACATCTTTTCAACGTCAACTGTTCTTCAACATGTGTATAGCTATACAGTATTTATCCATAGCATTCTCTGTGGGCATAGCTATATAGTTGGTATGTATGTATAGAGCCTTTGCCACAACTGTATAGCATGAGGTAGTGTCTTATCATATAGTAGTACAGTATTATGGTAATGTATCTCGTGACAGTAACCATCTATTTCTTCATCGTAGAGATCCGGCTATCAGGAGCTACAGCCTTCGCTATATCAGAACCTGGGAACGTCTGGGGAGGGGACCACAGCAAACCCTCCACCAGGACACACTGCATCAGACCGGCATTTACGCCAGGGGGCGCGACCCAGGCCCTTTCGCGGCAGAGCCCCTCCAGAGAATGAGGAACTTGAACCACGTGGTCGGCTGCAGACTGAGCCTACACGGCCTAACCCAAGAGTCCGCGACCCCAGAGTGATTCAGTCCGAGATATTCTATATCTAACTAGAAAGGTATTGTTTTCAAATGCATGTTTACCTTCACATGGTCTAGCCCCCCAAAAACTACTGTTCTGTTTTAAATCTTACATTCATATTCATATACATATACAAGATATGGTGACCAGCTCCCCCAACTCTATCCCGCTACATAATGTACCCCAACAACACAGGGTGTCCGTTACAGCACTAGTTACCATGGTGACAGACGTCTGGTCCAGGTCATTGACTTAATTCGTTTCGAGAAGAAACTGAGCAAAGGTAAAACATCACTATAAACAAGCAGTCTGACTAGACCCAACATCGACATCTGTCTCCATCATACTTCTGCAAACGCAAAAAGAAAATTGTGTATTATTGGCCACTAGGGAAACTTACGCATTTCATAGGTCTTAGTTATTATGTTATACAGAGCTGCATATGGGCAAAGGAGATACACTCGACCGATGTTAAGTAGAACTGTAAACAACACTAGAATGAAAAGCCATTGTATGTTAAGAATTGGTTAGGCTAATGTGATATCTGTATCTAAATAACCTAGCTACTGCTGTAAAAGTACCTGTAATATATACAGTAACTACAATTATCTAAACAGAACATATCCGGGTGTCGGTATATTTGTAGTACCAAAATGTTCAAGTCTGATATTTCGGACTATTGTGTATGATAATATTTATCCATAAATTACTGTTGTGAACTTGTTGGGATGATAATGGTTTGATAAATAATGTGTAACAAATATAAAGAATATACAATCATGTGCGATATCCAACCAGATAAACTGTATATGACTATGTATATGACTATGATAATTTGGAGTGCAGAGCAAAGCGTACTCACAAAACATACTACATCAGCCTGTATCATTTGTCTGTGGTGTGTTGCTATGTAAGTATCCTGGCGTGTCAATATTACTTACAATGCCTGACACTAACAAAAATTGCAGGGCTAATTTCAATGAGATATGTATTGATCGGTGTGTATATGTACGATACGAGTGTATATATATATATATATAGGATATACCCATGTGTGTGATGCAGATGTATTAGATGGTGTATACTTTTGTAGACAAATTGAAGAGCTGGATATTAAGGTGTTTTGGATGCCATGTTACCCCGCCAGATCTTTGTATTAAGTTTCTTTTTACATTAAATGTATTTCTTCAACAAAGAAATAATTTTGAGACATATATCACTGGAACAGCGATATTCAAACGCTTTCATGTAGCAGGCCGCAAACGTTATGTAAAACAAGACCTGACCACACAATATCCAATCGTGCAAAAACACAAAGCTATCATAAAATATAACCGTCTAGGGCCATTCTAGAA